AGTCATTTGGAGGACAATTAGTTCAAGAGTATAACCAACGAATTTTGAAAAATATCCCAGGACTCTTCTAAGCCAATAAGGCTCATTATAAGAAGACAGATTCAAATTTTAGTTATTATATATATTTGTGAAAAGTTGACAATAAAGCTAACGCATATTTTATTTTATTCTTAACTTGTAACTTGTCGACTTATTATAGTTGTTAAATTAGATTCAATATTTTGTTTCAAAAATAAGATCATATCATTATCAGCTTTTCTGATAATCGTTATATTATAACGTATAGTTTGTTTTTTAATTGTCTCCAAACAGTCACTGCACAGTTGAACATTTTCAGAGTGGGCCCTTGTCCACAAATTTGGATTTTATTTAATCAATTGTAATATCATTAAATTTTTACCTAAATGTTGTATCAAAATTAATAATAAAATCTTGTCATAATGAAATAGAATATTTCTACCTAGTTAATAAAACACAAATTTCCGATAAGTGTTCATTGATATTTAAATAACAATTAATTTTTTAACTGATAGAAATAACATAATATGAACAAATAACTATAGTTACAATACATAAACTTATAGTCCGTGGATACTTTTGCAGAAATTGTAATGTGGAGTTGTCCTTTTTTTTGAAATTTTGATCACTGCAACTTATGTCGGTTCTGTTTGCCAACTAAAAAGCATGTGTTAAATAATTTGGACTTGTCACCGTTTATGAAGTGTGGCAAAACTAATAATTTTATTTTGCTATTTCTCGGCGTCAATCGCTTGATTTTACTTGCGATTTTCTATATTGTATAATGAGCCCCTCAGTATTAGCTGTAATGATAACAATTAAAATCAATACAATAATTTGTATATTATTTATATATAGCAATAACTGTTGAAACTCATGTGGGAAAACGAAACAAAATATGCGTAAGACTTCTTTAAGCGTACTAAGTATACAAGTTATCATTAAACATCAACACTATATTTTGTTTATGTACCTTCGCAAATAACGTCGATTCACGTAATGTACTAGTTGTTTGCACTTTACCTGCGACATACATTTAAACGTCGAAACGTATATTATTCTATTTCTAGATAGTTTATAAATTTGACGTGTAAGCATAGAAGATCGGACAAATGGCATGAAGTAAAAATCTAAAGTAATGTTTGTGCTATTGATTTCCTATTGATATGTCCTAATGCACATTGTATGGTTAATAGTAGTTATAAGTAATGATGTATATATTTTGCATTTTAATTATTTAAGTAACTAACTGTTCAATTATATTTGTGACAACATTTCAAAAATTACTTATGTTCAAACTTAGTTTTTGGGCAAGACCGCTCGAGTTTAAGCCGGTAGAACTTGACGTAAGTTTTTCTTCCACTAGCGTCTTCCACTGATGTGACGATCGTCTTAACAACCTTTTAATGGTCATCGCCAGTGCGTTTTATTGCCATCTGTAAAATTTATTGACAATAATGTATATATTATATAAGCATTCTGTTTAATTTATTCCAATTTATTTCCATCATTTTTATGAATTTTAGATTTAGAGTCTAATTACCAAAGCGAATTTCCTCGTATATTTTTAACATAATATATGGACATTTATTGCTGAGACCCTTGTTGGAAATAACAAAACTAATAGTTTTCATACAAGTTTTAGCTGCGAACGCACTATAGACCACTAATTTAGTAGAGTGGTAATTGATTTACTAACTACTAAACGTGTTAGTAGGTAGCTGAAAAGAGTTCATACAAATTTTAGTAAATTAGTAGTATAATATGTGCTGTGCAGTGTGCTGTGATACTGGAAGCATGTATTTTAATATGAAAGGTCTCTAAATAAATTAAATAAAGCAATATAATTTATTGCAACTGCTATTTTAGAAGAGATAGAAGAGCTTTTAGAAGATGAACTTAATGAAAAGACAAAGCGAATATGGATCCAGAGAAGGGATTTATTGGGAGCTACAAATGGTCTTATTAGAGAACTGGAACTTGAATACCACAAAACATTTTCGCAATGCCGAGAACGACTGGAAGTTATTTTAATTTTCTGTTAAAAAAAAATCAACCACAAATCAACCAAATTTAAATAATACACTTGACTAAAGAAACGCGTTCGGGCTTTGGTGGCCTATATAGCTATTAGTCAGAAGAGTGGAGAACGCTACTCGACCAGAAGAATAATAGAACAGAATAGATTTATTAAAATTTAAACTAGATTACTTTTCTAAACTACTCGACTAAACGTTTGTTCATAGACGATTAGTTATTAAAATACTCGCCACCCGTCTAAATTACTGGCCTAGTGTGTGACTACTACAACTAGATGGCGCAGCCGTGCACCCACCACAATAATATGTTTCCATGGTTTGTTATTTTTCGATATTGTCTATTTTATTTACTAATATTTTTTGATGACATTAATTTGGGAAATTAATTTTACAAAATAATATATACCTAACTCGAAATCAACGACTTACTTTCAACGGACACCTCGGCTTCTGTGATGATTGTGGCTGCTGCTCTATCGTGCCCGATTGAATGACACTGCCGCAACTCGTAAACGGTTTAGCGGGTCGTTCCACGTTTGCGGCACTTGTCGAAGGCCTGTGGATGAAGTAATCGTCAACCAGAAATTTAGGTATATGGGCTAGACGACGTTTCCGGTTGACGGAAGTGGACGTCTTCGACATGTCGGCTTCCATAAGACCATAGGGTCTCGGCAGTACCTAACAATATAGTGAGAAGAACATATGCATGAAACAGAACAATGCTTGTATCTCAATGTATTTGTATTAAATACAAGAGCTAACTTTAAATTTTTCTTTTCCAAATTTGATCAAAACTAGTCCTACAAAAAACAGATTTAACTAAGTCGAAATTTTAACTAAAAATGTACAATGTAACGTGTATTATTTTATTTTAAGAGTATATAATTTGCGGTATATAATGATTATTTTTATTATGAGATGTATATGTTTAAGGGGAACGGAAAGCGCTATTTATAAAGGGGCGAAGGATAGGAAATATTTGACAAAAATTGATCTAATAGCCATTTTTAATATGTCAACTAATTTTAATGTAAAAAGATATAAAGTTTTCTAGTTATAAAACGTTTAAAGTTATTTTACTCAAAGTTATGGCGAAAATTTGATAAAAAAATGGCTTTCGTGTAAGTCAGTTTCCGACGTATTTATTGGATGGATTTCAATTTTTATTTTGTTTATGAGAAGCTTACTATTTTCTCTATGGGGTCTAAAAGGCCGATTTTTTTATTTATTTTTTATTAGTATACGATTTTTGGAAGTTCATACTTAGTAAACGATTATATATTATTCAGAGAAGGATATTCAAAACTAGACATCATACGTTTTTTTTATAGATCATGTATTTGACAGATCTTTCTACGGTATTTGGAGAATTTTTTATTTTGGATCCTTTCAATTCAGGTTGAGCAAGATGTTTGGTATAAAGGCAGTTATGGTTCCAAATGGTTATTCCATTTTTTTTCTTCTTTAATGTATTTTTTTTATAGTTATGTTAGATTTAGTCGATTGAACTTAAATTTAGTTAAAAATTTAAAATGTCCTAAAAATTAATTCTCTCATTTTCAAAATATTTATTATAATGCAAAAAGTGAATGATATCAAGGTTAATTTTTATATTAAGAAAAAAACATTTTCATATGTTTGTTTTTAATGTTATGCACTAAATAAATTTAATTCATATAAGACAAAGGGGTTTATATAAATATTTTAAAACATATAAGTATTTATGTTTCATCAATTCGGAACCTATTAACATGGAACTAGCAAAAAGTAAAAAATAACGACTACCCTAATATTATAAATACACAAATTGCCTTGGAAGAAACGTGACTATTGCGAACATTTTATCCGTTTTACAAATTTTTTTTAAATATCATAAAACGTTTAATACTTTAAACGATTGTGATGAACGGCTTGATTGTGCCTAATCGAATAGTAGGTTTGCATAAATTACGTCTATGGTTATACCTGCATATTTTTACGCTTAATTACATATTATTTTTTAACAAAATTAATAACGTGCTATTATCGACGTGTAAATAAAACGATTATAATACTTCTATTATCGTGTATACGCTATATCGGTAAATACAATTTTTTTAAGTATCCAAACAATCAAATAATTATTTTAATATACAACGGTCGTCCTTGATAGCACGTGAATTTCACAATGTGTTATAGTATGTTCGGATAGATGATTGTTAATATTATTGTTCGGCATTATCCGATTACAACTTATAGACATAGCGTGTGTTTCTAGAAGAAGAATAATGTAAATTACGCGATCGAATTGGAAAAAAAAAAACAATTTTGTCAATAAAAAATATTTACCCAACTATGCTAATAAAGCACGAATGAATACAAAATATTCAAATACCAGGAATATGGATATCGGATTTGATTTGATTTTTCCGGGACTCTACACTTGGTCGGTGCTTATGACGTACGGTCATCGTTGTTAATAGGACCCACACCGAGAGCTATTTGCAGATCAAAAACAAAGTTATTATTTGTTACATATGTGTGTCACGCTACAGAAATAGGCACCGAATAATAATTGTTTGGGTTCGGAACTGCTTTGGGAGAAATAAAAAAAAAAAACAGTCTTCGCGTCGATTTATTTTCTTTTCTTTTTTTAACTTCAATTTCATTTTGTACGTACGTGCCATTGTACACGTTCGCCGTAAATAGGCACTATCTAATTGACTAATTAATTTCGACAAATTCTCGTTTTCCACAAAACGTTACAGGTGTATTGTTAGCCGTCCAATTTCGGAAATCGCTCAACTAGGTCCGACACGATAATTACTGTCGACGGGCGGAGGTGGACAAATCCGTGACAATGAGACCTAAGGTCAGGATGTCCACGAATTATGGCACACAATATCATCTGCCGGCAAGCCCAAAGTATATATATATATATCATACCAGGCCCGTCCAGTGACCACAAACAGCACACCGTTCAGCAAACACGTCTGAATAGATTTGCATTCGTCTATTGTATCCTTGTTTTTGGAAAAAATCCAACTCAACACTTTCGAGATGCTGTCGACGGGTCGTATCGCAACTCTGGTCTCTTTGCACTGCCTTCTGTACGTTTTCCAAACGGCTGGATCGTCCGGCGCAGTCCAACTACGTGAGTACCTGAAGTTTTGTAATGTTCAATTTCTAAACGCGTAATGTCGCATCATTTTGTTCGTTTTACAGCCAATGGATTCGTGACGTGCAAAAGGGCCGACCCCGAAGTGAACACTTGCATCCAACGGGCGCTACAACGGTCGATCCCCCATTTGGTCAAAGGTGAGTAACATTAATTGTTGCATCATATTTTAATTTAACCGTTTACGCATTACTTCCCCCCCCTCCCTTATGTACAACAACGCGACTCGTACGGACTTACATAAAGTAATGTCCGATTTTTTAGATGTCTATAAATAAAATGCTCATCGTTCAGCGTTGATTTTTAATAACTACAATAGGCGACATTGCGACAGCCGATGTCCAATGTGTAAACAATAATCGCTTTGTGCGACAATAAAAAGCAAAACTTAATTATTTTCCATATTATGATAAAATATTCAACTGTGTAATTATTCCACGTAAGTCGGAATGAAAAACCCATGCGCATAAGTAATGTAAACGTAATCTATGACGTTGGTCGATCATTTTTTTTAAAAATAATCTGGGCCTAATAACTCATTTAATTATTGCTTTGCGTTATTTTTCTAAACTAACATCATAATACAAACATCAATAAAAACTTTAATGTTAAAATATTTACCTTAATTTGGTATTCAAGTGTTATATAACTTTTTGCTTTTGCATCAAAACAACTATAAATGCGAAATAGGTTTTTTTTAATAGCAAATAAAATTACTCATTTAAGACTTGATTTTAAATGTACATTTTATATATTTTTTTTTAAGCTGTATGTCGTACAAATTATATATTTTACAAAATATATTGTTAAAATTAGAATAGTATTGAAAAATATTTTTTGTACTGACAACTGGTTTTCCATTAAACAATAATGTAGCTCTAAAATGTTTTAATAATATTTGCTAGTATTGTAAAAATGTCTTTCAATCATACTTTGGCAGAAAATCAAACATTGCGACAATATAAATATAACAATAATTCGTCCTAAATCTTACAAATCTCTCAATTAAAAAAATCTTTATTATCAATCTGTGTCTACAAATGGATTTCTTTCAAAAGACAAGAATTACAATTTTGTTTCAAAATAATGATTGGAAACCCGTCTTTATTCCAAAATAGACAGCAGTCCAAAACTGTATATTTAGTTAGTCTGTACAAATTGAAAACTGAAGAAGTTGAACCCTACTATTAAGTCAATTCGTTATTTATCATCTTCAAAAAATTCCCTCTCTTTAAAAAAATCTGTCCTTAGATTACTTACCTTGTAACACACAAAATGCATGACTACAATATCAATTGGCATACATTGAACGATTTCATGAGCTAACGCGATTTCAGCTGTATCGAGTTGGAAGGCATTCAATATAATGACATTTTGAGTCATAAATCCTTGTGCGACTCGCACAATTCATTCAAATTTCATAATATGTCATTTTTTTATACTTGAAAACTTTTTTGTCATTTTACATTAATATGATCTAAGCTCCAAATTGAACTTGTTTCGTGCAATTTTAATTCCAGAACTCGATCTAATACTTGAGTGAGTATATTATAATATCACTTGATTTTTCTCAATTACTTAATTAAGACCGCAGTAACTATCTGTGACTGGAGCGCAGATGCTTTAGCCATAGCATTGATTTTAAAATATACAGATATTCGGTGCTGTATACAAGAATGGTGACCGATTTCATGCGGGAATCCCTCGTAAGATCGGCAGCCGTTCTTGTGTATGTCTTGTGTTCTTGTGTACCGCTAATCTGCATATTTTGAAATCAATGGCCATAGCTAGCTTCCATGTCTTCTATACCGACCTTCAGCACTCCCGACAACAATAAACCGGTGTTGATTACGTGATCGCATTGCTGTGGTGGTTGACGCTTACGTGAGTAGAATGATGATATTAACCGAGCCCTATTGGCAAAAATCAACTTTCCTGTTTTTGGTTTTCCTCGTCCGTTTCCATCCAAACTCCCGCTGTACATAATATTATATACCTTACAATAATATGTCTTTGCACTTGACCGTGAACCGTGATGCGCATTAGGAATACACAGTATTTACTGACCATAACTATTTGAGCAAACACGCGTAGTTTAATAGGTAAATAATCAAAATTGACTTAACTTTATGACGTGTGTAAATTCCCACCATAAAAAAATAATTTTTTTTTTACTCAAAATAAATATGTTAAACCCAACGTATCCGCATCGTATTATGGTGAATAAGTTAATAGCTGTATTTTTTTTTTTTAATTTATATACACATTTTTCCAAAGATGACACTCTATTCCAAACATAATTTGTATAGACATTTTTTGTCGGTTATTGTATTATAATTTTTAGTTAAATTTTACGATTTACCGATAAAAATGAATGAACGACAACCGTATGAGAACAGAATGAAAATAACATTTCAATTTGCTCTCCTGCAAAACTGTCTTATATTAATAAGAATATATAAATATATACTTAGGTATATATTCGATTCTCATTACTCCAACTAAACACAAACCAATAATTAACAATAATAAATTATAACACAGCTGACAATAATAATATTATTCCTTAACTTTCATTGCCAATATTTTACTTTTGCGTGAAATGTAAATTTTGGTTTTTCATACAATATTCCATGTTTGACAATACGAATAAACTAAATTTCGACCAATATTATAATTTAACGGGAACATAAAATAGATTTGTTCCCAATTCGGAATTTGAGCTAAAAGAAGTTTATCTTTAATGTACTTTTTTTGCACCGTAAACAGTTTATTTTTACTATGGCGGTCGTAATCTTCATGATAATACGATGCTATTTCTATTAGGCCCATAAAAATATCTGTTACACAAGTACATTTCATTATATTGTACCACGCAGTGTACAATTTTCGAAAACAATTAATATGAGTTAACAGTTTTTACTTAAAACTTAAAAAATGTTTTTTTATAAACAATAGTCGTCGTTCAATAATTATACGTTACTGCATAATTAATTAAACCTAACAACACTCGTATTTATTTATTGTGTTAATACATTTTAATTAACTTATCTATATTATTTTTACTATTTAAATTATAAAAATACTTAGAGAGTGGCGTAATAAGACTTATTGAAATACTGCCAAGTATGTAACTAATTTATTTATTAAAAATTATAAAATAAAATATCACCCGGAAGTAACCTATGAAATAATGTAGTATAAACTGCCCATGAGAATATTACTTAATGTTATATTAAATATTAAACCAACCTTTTGTAATACTCCTATAACACGTTGCCGCGATTTGATTTTTCAAAATTAATTATACTATACATATTTTTTTTTTTTTAATTTTAGTGTTTATTTAATATTTAATTATTTTATAATATATAACAACACTAGGTACAAAAGATAGATTAAAACGTCCTTGTTTGTATTATTGTAATTGCTCTGAAACTATTTATAAATATATTTTTTTTTAGGTATTCCTCTTTTGGATCTACTGCCAATTGAACCATTATTCATCACGCACATGGATATCAACCAATCGAGCGGTCCGTTAATAATCAAATTAAACTTCAAAGATTTAAACATACACAGATTGAGTTCCGTTAAGATAATATCGTTGAAGTTAGTAATTTTATCTTTTTTGTATTCCATTGTCACTTTGAATCAGTCTTCACACAGAGTTTACTTCAACTTTCAGGTCAGATATTGATAAATTTACATTCAATATCAAAGCGGATTTCGACGAGCCGCTGGTAATAGACGCTTTGTATAAAGTTCAAGGTAAAATCATTATCTTGCCAATTAGAGGCGAAGGAAGAAGCAATTTGACTTTAAGTATGACACATTAATGAATATGTCAAAGTACAGCCATAATATATAACTATCTATTTTACAGCTGGGGTAAAGGCAACGATAGAAGCCAGAGGAAAGCCAATTATGAAAAACAACGAGAAATACATGGAGCTGGACTACTTAAACTTGAAATTCAGTACTTCACATTTACACGTTAAATTAGACAATCTATTTAACGGAGATAAATTCTTAGGTTTGTTAACTGTATACAGTAGTATATTCGACATTAGCATAATAAATTAGAAAATACTACAACGTCGTTAACCTTACAGGAAACAACATGAATCAGTATTTAAACCGTAACTGGAGAGACATTTTGAAGGAAGTCCAACCTGACGTCGAAGCTACACTCGGAAGTGCGTTCCAGTCGATCGGTCACCAATTTTTCTCAAAATTACCATACAACCAAATATTTAGATAGTTAAAAATGTTCTTAACGTTGAGCATTTATATTGTATTTTTTATTATTTATTTATTTTACCATTTGAAAATGTTACCAGCATATTTAAATAAAATGTTGTTTTAAGATAATTTAAATATTATTTTTTGTCATTTCTACTTACCAACGATACCAAAAGTTATTACTGAGTAGAGCTTACTATAATACGAGTTAGTATTAATAGTTGAGTAGGAAAACATTTGTCAATCAAAAAAAGTCCAGTTTTAGTAAAAAATTAATCATTTTTTATTTAAATTTAATACAATTTGTAAGATATATGTACGGAGTCTAACAAGCTTTTATAAATATCAATACCAAAAATGACGCATTTTAGGTGAATAATGTTTGTTATAATTATAAAGAAAAATAACTATTGACGCTGGTATATAAAGACTAAAGCAGTTGCTGTACTTTTATAAACATATTTTAATAAATTCATATTATGCATGCATAGGTATAATCAGTGTTGTTTTTAAATGCAGATAAATATTTTTAAAAAAACTGCAAGTGATGACAATCTCAATGCGTTGTATATAAACGTGTACCTGTGCAAAATACATATATACTATATACATCTATCTAATGTGCACAGATATAAATAATACTTAACTTCACTCTTCTTGTCGCCCTAAACTTTAAACTTTAATAACTTTAAAAGTAATTATTCGAAACTGATTATCGACTAGTCGATATTTTCAGCAAATAATTTTTTTTTTTTAAGTTAATTAAATATAGTGATGTTATAAATATGATATTTGTCTATATATTATATATATTGTTGATACCATGGCGTTGACGAAAAATACCATAACGTGCTCGACAAATAATAATTTTAAAATAGTGCCTGACTTTTTATGTGTAGGCAACATGGCCAACGCGGGACGTGATGTAGTAGTGAGATGCCTGGCGCATTAGTGTGATAAAATAATGAGGATTTATGAGCTGCCCAAAAGGACTAAATATAGACAATCCGGGATCAATTTAAAGGCAATTATTTTATAAACGAATTGCCTATACTTTACTCCTTTATAAATAAGTGATGTGGCGTCACATATTTAAATAATTTTTAAATATTAGGTACTTAGTATGTGTATCTGAAATTAAATAGTATCAGTATTTCTTTTCAAATATTAATTTTTAACCATAATGATAACCAGGCAATCAGTTGACAGAAAGAAAAGTCTATCTTCAGAGGGGGTAGTTATGGTTTGAACGTAGGCTGCAGTAACTATACGCAGTGTGGTTGTACAATAATATTATTTTGCAACAATACCAGCACAAAAATAAACACCTGCGTAGTGCATACATGTGTAAAAACTACTAAATAGTTCTAAAATCCACGAATATCAACACATGCAAGTACATAGTATTTGTAACACGTTCTACGATAATTATTACAACAACAATGTTGTTTTTTTGAATAACAGTTGTTTGTCTTGCTATAACTATAACACCAACCCAACAAAACATAGTATTCATTATTTAGACACAAAATAACTATATTATGACAATTCCTTTAAACAATTCTTGACTATTTTCGAGTGCAAATAAAAGTATTTAAAATACACGTAGAAACATATTTCATAAATTATCCAAATACTCAATTTGAAAGTATTTTAAATGTATTCTAATTATTAAATAACAATTTAAATACAATTACTCAAGTACTTGACAATTAATAAAATTGTTAAATCTGTTTAACATAAATAAAAACACATCATACTCGTAAGTACCGCCTATTGTGATTTTTGGTCTGCGATACGGTTGATCCCCTTAGTTCGACCCAAGTATATGTAGACGAAGCCATAAACAAAAAATTACCAAAATTATTAATTTTTTATAATTTATTATTTGACTGTTTAAGTAACAACGATTATTTAATTAATAACAAAATTATTTGTTATTAATTATTATGAGTTAACACAATTTATTTAATGTTAATGATTTCTTTTTATTTGTTATTTTTTATTAATTATTGGTTCGATTTTCTTAACACAATATTATTATAACATCTAAGGTAAAAAAAAAACAATAAAAAAAGATGAAAGTTTGACCAACTCTCTGTACATTGACCGATAGGCGTTAATCACCGGTTTACCGTATATTCAGATACCGACAGTTTATCGATCGTACGTCCAGTGTTACAGAAAAACCGGTACCAAAATAGGCGGTAAGCCCATAAGTTATGACCCATTATTCCGGTAAACTTTAAAATTTATTACCATTTGTTACCGTAAAACACCACTAACCTTGCCAGTTACCGGCGGCCGGCAACCGGTAAGTTGGCTTAGTGAATCCGATTAAATTAGGTTAGGTAAAATAGATTAAAATCGGGCAACCGGCAGTAGATAAGAACGTGTACGAACATCGATAATGTGAATACATTATCGATATTCGAATGTCTATCGATAGCTGAATATAATCTCTACCGTCGTATATCGATAGTCTGCAGACGAATCATTACCGACGGCGTCCAACAGCCGGGCCGACAGGGGGGTCGCGTCGCCCGTAGACGCGGTACGCCGCCGGTAACGTCCACCCCGCGCAAAAACCTAACCTCATTCTGTGCACGCTGACGATTTTACGGCGACCGATGATAATAATTAATAGTTCACCGCGCTGCTGTCTGTCACGATACAATTACACGCCGGTCGCAGACAGTCGATACTCCAGTAACCGTTTGGCGATGAGGCAATCCCAGTCGTCTGCTATCGTCGCCATTGCACCGTTAAACCATAAATATTATCATAATAATAATAATAGCGACAATAATAATATTATCATACTTCGTACAATACTAACGGCGGGCCGCTAGCTAAATCCAGCGGCAGTTTTCCAACACCAAAGCCACCGCCGACCATCAGTTATTAAAGGTAAGTGTACCATGTTTTTGCCTCTCCGATAAACTTACCAATCGATCATGATCGATAAATTGATCACGCGGTAACTATCACATTTAAATTGATAACACGGCCGGTTATGATAATTATTAGGTATAAATTATAATCTATGTTAGTGCAATCAAATTATTATATTATTGTTTACAAATTCAGGATTTTACTATGATAGACCTTCTCCGACCTCAAATGGGCCACGACCGATTGATAACACAAAATAAAATGTATAATCGCGAAATCGAAAAAAGTTAATTTTGCTTTAACGAAAATAATAATATCAAGTTATATGCCACGTTAAACGAAGGTGTTACACCGACATGTCTAATCACGGCACCTAAATCATAATAGGTTTTTTTTACAAGTTGGCGACCGAAATATTTCGGGAAGTTTTTTTTCCTCTATTCAGCGTTATACGATATGCGGTAAACCAAACAAATATAAGTTTGTTTTTTTTAAGAAGAAATGTGCACACGAGGTCCGATTAGAGAGATATTTTGTTATTGTTATTGCACAACGGCAACACGTGCCTCGCTCGTATGGTAGGTGGCTTAGCGTCGGCGCAGTCCAACGCACTCGTTTAATGCACATCACAGAAGTTAATATTCTTAATTTTTTAATGTAAATATCAAATTGTTTTATTTTTTTTAAATAATTCTATTTTAAAAATTCTAACCACATTCCCATCTGAAACCCACATCTTGACATTTACATGATAGAAAATTAGTAATTACATCGCATAACCAGACGGTTAACAACAGGTACTTTTGAGTACATCACCGATAGTCGCTTTAAAAATAGTTGGGTCGTCTAAAACTATATTTGGACTCCGAATAGTGAGACTTGTAAGTAGTCCGATCGTTAAGACGCTTGTAAATAATAATAATTAACACAGTCAAACACACACGCACACACTAAACAAACCCGGGAAATGGGTCTATTCGATTTGAATTTTTAATGTCATTCGTTTTGTTTAATCTAGACGAAAACTTAAAAAAAAAAAATACTGTTGTTTTTAGCACTTAGTTACTCTTTTTAAAGTTCTAAAAATAGCCACAGGAATAATTATTTGTCATTTGATAAGAATATTTTATTTTGTTGAAATTTTTATTATTAATTTTTGCCTAAAATAGAGGTTTTTTAATTTATTTTTCAAATAAAATAGATTTCGACCCGTTTTAAATTTCTGAAATTTTTATCATAAAATCAGAGACTTATATCAAATCTTTTCGTCTAATAACGAGAGTGGGCCGAGATTTATTTCTATTTTTTTTATTAATAAAGAACATTTTTCCCGGGCGGTCACCCACCCTGGATCAAGCAGCAACACAGCTTAACCTCATGTCGCGTGGCAGCTGAGGTGCCCACTGCGTCCACACTATGCCCATGTATTTTTTTAAATGTTATTCGTAAGGAACATTTTTCACTTTTTACTCTCAAAATACGAGACATTTTTTTTGTTTTTTTTTATTTTAATTAAGAAAACTGAATTTTTTTTTTTTTTAATTATACAATTTGTAATATATTTAACTACATTAAGATATATAATAAATCAATATATTGAGACAGTAGACTTGATAGAAGGGGCCAGCCAGTGCTGGTATTTCATGGCGTGTGAAATCGTAGATCAGTCAACTAATTTACTAATAGGTCGCAACACCACGTTCGCTTTAGGCGCCTTCTGGGATAGTATGGACGGATAGATCAGAGATCAGGGAGTTTTGAATGGTTGAATGTTTTGTAGTGAAGGCGCTTGTAGAATATTTTGGCAGTTTTTTGAACTGTTGAGATGGAGAGCTCATTATGGTGGGTATCATAAAACATCAAAATTATAAGAACAAATCTATAAAGCTATTTAACGTACGAAATTTATTTGCCGGAAATAATTCAAATGTTTTACTTTTAGTGGATGCAAAAATCATATCATAAAAAAAAGAGTTTTAATGTTACACATGACCATAACAAAGGTGAAAACAGGTTGTCCTAAGACGCTCACTTCGAATTCGCTTGAATGCTCTTTATTGTTTCCATTAGAGTGAGTTAGGCCTATAGAGTATACGCTGTTCACCCTATTTTAAACACAATACACTAGTATAGGGGAGATCAGCGTGCGTATAACGTGTGACATAATATTATTCCATATATTATAATTTTACTCTGACGAGGGTTCAAAATACACGGTCGATGTTACTCGCATTACACATTACACATTTCATGATACAATTTCAATCGTTATTATAACGATTAGGAGAACTATGTCAACTTAAATATTATGTACCGGTGTGTTAGTAAACTAATACATGTGTTTACCTTTAAAACAGCATGTCATCATAAATAAGTTTATTTTTTTCTAGTATGTAATCAAAATTAAATTTGTTATTTTAGCTTATTATAACAATATTTATATCAATTATTATGATTAGTTAAGATAATAATACAATATAATATATCAAGATAATAGGACGAAGATTTACTTATTTCGTTAACTCCAATTCGACACGCAGAGCGTTATTTCGACAATTCGTAAAATGTAAACAATATAATATCGATAATAACTATTATTGTTACAAATTATGCCTTAATGTACTCCTAATCGGACACAGTAAATTGTTTTGTCGATAAAAAAATATATTAGGTATTTGATTTTCATTAAATCGTGTTAAAAAATCTACAACCCAATTTTATCTCGTTAAAATATTATTATATGTTATCACATTAATCAGCAGATTTATTTCCGGCAAAGTTTGTATCACATAATTATCAATAATATATTTAATGAATACTAATGATACCTAATTGACAACTAATTGATAAACGTGAGTAGTTCTTATCCTATATCAGTAAAGTGATCCTATATTGTGTTGTGTTGTGGCACGTGCTAGGTGGGAATTAGAAATTATTCAAAACCGTCTTTTTAAAAGCATAATAATTAAGGGCTCGAATAAATTTCCGGACAAAAATCAGATTTTACTCGCTAACTAAAAAAAAAATGTCCAAAACTATTATTGTTTTTCAGAATCGGACAAATCGTCTTACACATTAAAAAAAAAAAAAAATAGTTTACCGAGTTTTTCTTTTCGAAACAAATAAGAACATATAATTTTCATTGTCACCTTGATAAGAATAGTAATAATGTTTTTTTATACTACCGACAATACGTGTACAACATTAACATGCCGACACTAGAAATGAGGTGTCTGTGTAATGTTGTATGTAAAATGACACTATAGTATATTGGTTTTCGTACACGTGCCATGTCGCCGATATTGTGATCTCTAACAAATAGTAATAATAACAATAATCATAATTTACATTATTACTATTGGGAGCAATACTTTTGACCCGGTTAGGTATTTATTGTTTACGATCCTACTAGGCCCCGGACACTGATAAAAATTAACACGGGCTGGATACTTATCACAAAAAAAACGCGGCCGCCATCTTCTTAATGTTACACCACTATAATCTTATATCAATACATTATCATTCTTAGTTGTGTATAAATATTATAAAATATGTTTAATACTAAATAGACTTGACTAAGTGGCCGTCATTTTTATGTTAACATTGAAAGTGACCATTCTGCTTTTATCTATGCTGTGATTCTATACAGTGCAAAATTATTTGACATGTGACGCAGTGTTGCACGGAATACATTCGTTGAGAAAAAATAAGCTATAAAAAATATAGTTACTGCAACTTGCAAGTAAATTACTTACTCGGAGACCAAATTCTTACACTCATCGGACTTTCTTAAAATACTTTTTCCATAAACGTGTTACTTTGTAATTTATTCTTCTACAACACTGCGCTAATAAGTGCATAACATATAAAACGAAATCGTATGGTATAAATAAATAAACGCTACTGGTAATAAATATTAAGGTTATAGTATTTATGTAACAAATTGTATTCAATAATTACAGCCTAATTTTTTGATACATGATATATCATCACACCAATTAGTTTTATATAAAAAAAAACTAGCTTATCGCCTTGCTGTATTCAATTTTTAATTAATTCGTCAATTAAATGTTATTATAGTATTTTGTTTAAAATTGTCTTATGATTTAAATAGATGGCTTTAATTGAAAATTCCCAAAATCATTTATAATGGTGGCATTTATTAACGATCTTTAAATCACCTCGATAACTTAACTAAAAATTATAGTGCCGCGTCCTTGACCGTTTAATGCATTTAGTTTATGTACTCGTCAATGTATAGATCAACATTATGTCGATTGGTGTAAGTAAATGTGTTGTTCGAATTAAATTCCTCAAGTAATTATTGACGTTTAAATTATTACTATTAAGTATTAATTAATTATTTATCTAATCTACGAAAAACACACACATAAACTCTACTTGTAAGCGTTAAGTCGGACGTCACGCATCCAAATTAACCATTTACAAATGCTCAATAAGACTAGGAATTTTAAAGTTTTTTTCCCCGAAAACTTATTGAAAACGATCGGTTTTCGACCAAAAAGCCTTACAAAATACAGACTACTCGGGGTGCATCGATCTCTACTATGTAAACAAGTACGAGTTTGTTGGCTTCTTCAATCGGTTTTGTTGAAAATCAATTTTTATTTTCGTATTTTTGAAAAATTATGACGTTTTAATAATTAAAAAATTTGAAATTTATTTGTTTAATTACCAAAATCTTCTATATTTATTATTAAAATTTGTTTCCAGCAAAAGAGGCCAATAAACTACTATTTTGAGTTTTTAATTACTTTAAATCTGACCTTTATAAGTAGTTTTTTTTATCTAAAACCCAATCTAATAGATACTGGAAAATTTATTATATAGCTTTTGTAATTAATCTGAAAAAACGACATTGTTAAAATAAGTTCAACCCATGTTTGCTCTTATAAGACTGTAGACTGTAAAAACTTTAATAGAAACAATTCTGGTTTTAAAATTTAACAAAAGAAGAAAAAAAGTTCGTTTTGTTAAAACTTTGTTCTTGGTACTTATACAATAATGTTGATTTGTATAATACAAATGTCACAATTAATTTGTAGCCAAAAATCATAAGCTTAATAAAAATAACAAGAGTTTATTATGACTTTTTTCTTCAAACATCTTTTAACTTGATACTTTATATAAGTATGCTTACCTAGTTTTAAAAATAGTAACTTACTCAAAAATTCAACACACTTTTCTCCCCACCTAAAATCACTGTACATACAATTCTGAACTACCTATATAAAAATTAAACAACGGGACATGCATAGGCTTTTAACTTAATCGAACTTTAGCAGTCTGGTTTCTGCGTAATATTATATTGTTATTGGTACTTTTTTGTAAGTGAATCGCAACTGTATCTAATTACAGTCTCTAAAAGAAGTAATGATAAAATCATTATTTAAACCGGTTATCATAATTAATAACAACCGGTTTTTAATTTTTAGGCAGACTTTGTTATTATTGAACATTTAAAACTCACGTTTTTCGAATAAGGTCAGTACTTCCCGTTTCGTAAAAAAATTCATGCCGCTTAGAAAATTTAACAAATTGTGTATGTCAAACGAGTAAAAAAGAATAGGAAATTTTTCGCTGTTGTAATAAGAATACAATGCACTTCCTTACTGGTTCTTACTGCTGAGTATGTACTATTTATAAATTACTTACTGGGTTATAACTCATAAACAATTGAATTTATTACAGATTCAGACTGAACTCTCTAGGAATATGCAACGTTTTGAGAATCCGTGTATTTACTATAATTGACAGTTGACGCTATTTTTTTAAATTATATTTAAATAATTTAATGAGTTGTAGACGTATCACTTATCCGTTACAAGCTTTTAGATTAATTAAACAAATGTGTTAATATTTTATCTTGAGTGATTCTGTGTCAAATTAAATGTAGTACTTACATTAGAAAGTATAAACAATAATGTAACATAGAATTTTTAATAGATTCATATGCGGTATGGTATAATAGTGGAGTGCGCTATAGGTCATAAAGTCAAAGTATACCCTTATCTTTTACTTATCTAAAAAAACTACCTTATCGTCTTACTAAACAATTATTGTCTAGAAATTCAAATACGATGTTCTTCCTGCGAACAATAGCCTAACATAGTTTAGTGTATCTAACGGCCGTATACAGAACCTATTTTCTAATCGAGTCGCAAAATTGTATTCGTTATAACTATAAACACCATTTGAATCATTAGTGTATGTGTTTTGGGTTTCTTCGTTTGCTATTAATACCTCAACAAAAATTATGAAAGAACTAACTGTTGTAAGTATAATTTATGGAGAAAAAAAACATCAGTTTCAAAGTCGGAAATTTAATTCAAGTGTAACAAAATATTTTCGAGCAAAAATGCTACTATTTAAAGTGTGCAATGTGATGTGATTTCGTTAGAGAAAATTATGTAATAACTAACTGTGATGTATGACAAAATCAAAAATACAATTTTTTTTAATGAATGTCTTTTTTTTAGGAATAATTTTATTACTCACTCTAAATCCAGTGGTCATTTGCCTCTGCAAGGCTTATTTAATTGCAAAATACCATATTAAAAAACCGAAAACTCCATTATTATATACTTGCAATTAATAACGAGAAAAATTTCTCCATAAAATTAGGTTTTTATAGTTTTATTAAAAAAAATTAGTCTATTCCGTAGGTTCAATTAGGAAATAACTAATGCCAGTTCTGAACCTGACCTCTGAGCTAAATGTATTAACTCCTTGTCAAACGTGTGTAGGCTTATCTAGTGAAGATCTTGAGAGTTCATATTTTATTCAAAGGAATGAGTTTATGCTCATGCACAATACTTGCCAACAATTGTTGTCGAACCCGGTTCACGAGGGTCGAGGAAGTTGTAGAAAATAAGCTGAGAAGAATGGTGTTTTGTACAAATTAAAAAAAAATCACACGGTTAAGTTAGGTGGCTATAACTACATAGATATATAAAAGTAATTAAAAAACAAGAAAGTGTTAAGTTAAAACTCTTGTTATACTTAATTCCAACCACTCGACAATGCAAAAGCTTATTGCAATTTGACTCCTAACGAGTAGCACTCAAAATTTGAGTATCCAATCCCTGAGTTATGTTAGAAAAAGTGTGTATACTAGATGTGAATTTATTTTTACCAACTTTTCTGTCTAATCGTTATCCGACAAATTATCAGTTGTATTTGTAATATCATAGCGACCTTGACACTTAATGGCAACAAATGGTTTAATTTGTTTTTGTGAAATAATTTTCCATCTTGGCCATGTCTTAGTTTTGCATATTATTTAGTAGATTCTTATCACCTTTGCTGTAATCGGCATTTACACCTTGTACTTCTCTCCTTGCGCCTGGAATATATCATTAATACATTATTAACTCAGAACAAAATGTTAAACAGTGTGATCGAAACCGTGTAAACATAACATACTTTATCTGTACGTTATATGATACGTTACATGACTCTTATTTTACAAACAATATATTATCTAATTATAATTATTCAAATTAAACAGTCCAATGTATAGTTGAACCGTTTCGTCGGCGGATATAAAATAAATCGTTGAACTTATTCGTTTTCCCACAAAAAAAAAACAATATAATTATACACATTATTCGTCTTAGACTTACCCAATGTCTCAAAAGGGTGTTGATTATTTGAATGATCAACAATTTTTTGTTTTACAGAAAATGAGTGGACCGACGGAAACTGTTGTCAAGAATACTGACGGGCCCCCGGTTGACAAAGATGATAGAGTGAGACTTAAAAAGCAGCTCGGCCTTCTCGAGGGTTGTGCCATCATTCTTGGCATCATATTTGGATCTGGTAAGTAAAAAAATCTCTTCTCTATATGTATAAAAAAGAAAGTCACTTATTTTTGCCCAGGATAGTCTTCGAAACTACTGACGCATTTTCACTGTTATCATTGTCATCGTAGCTGTTAACATACTGTTGATGTTTAAGGTGAAAATCGAGTTATTATGAGAAGAATTTTTATATCAATATAAGAATAATTATAACCATTTGCCAGACTATACAGTGTGTTAATATGTGATACTCTATCGTTTAACTTAAGATGTGTTTAATAATTATTATGCATAAATCACTGTGGCATAAAATAATATATTCCAAAAATACCTACTTGTAATTATGATATTTCTTGGATTGTTTTTCGATACAAACCGCATGCAAGAGTTGGGAACTGGGAACTTGATTAGGCAATTATTTTATTATGGGATCAACCGAAAGAATGTTCTATTGATGTGAAATGATTTACTTATTTCGTAAATGACTCTTGGCCCTAAAATGTATTTGAATATTATCAGCGACGAATTAATTCGGTCAAATAGCACTGTATAGCGTATAGTATAACTGATTAAAATGTTTATTTGCTTCCGCTAAACGTTTCACAATCGGGATTGTAAAGAAAAAAATATATTTTTTGTTTTCACTTAAGTAACGGTTGAAAATGATTAGGGGTGAGACTTTTGTTATGAAACAAGCCTACTGACACGGCGTCTTTTAAAATATCTATTAAGAAGTTAATCGGTTTTGAAACCAATAGGTTAAAAATTGTTCTTATAGTTTCTCTTGTCACACAAATTAATTATCTTATACATTTACATTTGAGTCAAAACAAAGCGAATACCGTTATGTAACTTTAAAATTTAAGCAACTTTGATTTTTACTTAAATCTTTTTAGAAAATAATATTTGACTTAATCAGCTAATTGATTAGTTTAAAATTAATAACTTTAAAAAATCATTATGTTCTCAAACTTTTGGAGAGCCTTTTTTAAAATCACAATATAAACCTGTGTACTTAGATTACTACGGTTATAAACTAAACCTACCTATTCTGGCGATTGATTTTGACTTAATCAACTTAACTTTACTTAGCTCAACTTATACTATTAAATAGTGCAAAAATGTATATGAATAAAAAATGACTTAAATTCCATTTTTGGACTAATCTGGTTGTTACCAATCACCCAAGATATAATTCTCATTTATTTTTAAATTTTGATTACCTATTAATTTTAGAAGAACTAAATGAAGAAGGGCACAGGGAAAGAATGATATTTGTTCATCTTTTCGATTTTGAGTTGGGTACCATTTAATGGTACAAAGACCCTATTATCGAGTGTAGAAAAAAAAGGTTACAGTGGGGCCAACTTAGCGCCTTAAAAACGGTTGACACAGATTTGTTCGCACAAACTAACTTTGTTTTTGTTCTCCTGAAAAATTGGCAGAAGTGGACTACTACCCTTCTTCTCCGGTGCCCTTCAAATCTTAAAATAAACTACTGTCCTTTGAAGTTTTCCTATCATTTGATATAATTTTTTTTTGTTAAATCGTTTTTTGTTGTAGATATTAACGTCGCTTTTATTAGTGAGTGTTGTTTTCAACTTTTTTATGTTGAACTTTATTCGGTTCTTTATAAACAATGAAGTATGTTTGCCACTAATATTTATATTAATAGTATTTGATTTACGCTAATCATGATGTAGGTACGCTAAAAATAGCGTATGATACGAATAATAAATGGCCTATATTGAACTTATTTTAACATAATATTATATATTATTATTATTATTTAATAGTGAAGGTACTTCATCTTTGGAGTTTGACACCCAAATCGTGTGCATTAAAAACATAACTTGTGATTGTATAATCATGTTGTTTTTAAATGAGGACGTCAATTTGTAGCCTCGACCTGACGTTTGGTAAATCATCTAATAAATTACTATTCTTGTAATTGCTGTTGCCCAGCATCATCACGGTCATTGAACGTACCTCTCCATTTTCTGTTAGCGTGCTACCGCTTTTAAAAATCATCGTGTAAATCAAATGGCTGGTTCGTATGATTTGAAATTTAATCGTCTAGACCGTTTGCCATGTTTTGTATCCAATATTGGTATTTTTTTTTTTAGTTTATAGTCGCTATTATATTTCATAAAAAAGAAACCCTTTTGATCTTCAACTACTGTCTTTTTCAAGCTTGTGTACCTGTTTTACAACTAGTTAATTGTGTAAAAATGTGGTACTGGATACTCGAGTGTCATTTTTTTTTGTGGGGTTTGCCTTCCATGCAGGACTCCCATCAGAGGTACGAAAACAAGAAATCTTTATGGGGAGGGGGTAAAAGAAAAAGTATAGCTTACAAATATAAATCATAAGTTGGAGATTAAATTCACGTCGAAACTTGCTCGGGTGATTCTTAGAAGTCATCACCAACCAAAAAAAAAAAAAATGTTAGCATAAATATTTTGAATTCTCGGTGGATTTAAGAATTTACCTTTTCAGTTTTTATATAATGATTTGTGTTAATACTATAATTTATTTAAACATTATTGTTCTAGGTATTAGCTTTACGTTTTAACCATTTGTTTGTGTAATGGATAAAATTAATATTTTTGGAACACAAGCATCCCATTGTACAGAAATTTCAACAGCATACTAATTGCTCCACACAAAATAAAAAAGGGATCAAAGGCACAAATCGACAATGCCAGTCGACATTAACCTAAACACCCACGCTTTCCATTTCCCACGCCACTAGCATACATAATCAAATAATCTAATAATTATGCGAAGCTGAGAAATAATTTACCTTATAATAGTTTTATAAAAAAAAATTCACATTGTCAACACTGTTCATTTGACCGCCATCATAAAATGTTACAACAATAAAATTGATTGGTATATTAAAACACTCCAAAGTGGGCAGAAACCATTACTAAAATTATAATATCACGAAATATTATTTTTAATGTATTTTAGTTAATCATAAGTCTGAGAATTTATTTAAAAATAATTATAATGTTTAATTGTATCCTTTGTGATTTATCTAAATAACTTTATTAAAACATGAAAAAACAATCTAGAAAAATATAATAGGTATAATTGAAAGGGTACTTTTATTATAGTTTATGGTTAACGAATATCAAATTAGGAAAACATTTAAAGATAACAGTTAGGTTAGTACATTCTAATTACTATATAAAGTAATAACAGTATTTAGTTTTTAAACATTGTATTTATCATTTCTAAATATATGATAAAAATTGATCGGTACAAATGTATTGAAGCATAATATACATTTTGTATTATCAATATTAAACGTTTTAAAAATACTTAAACGCATATTAATTATTGGATAAAATATATATGATAGTAAACCGTTTTATATATCTGTGGCTTGGGTCTAAAAGGGCCAATGTCAATTTTGGGCATAAACGAGTTAGTCCGCTAAATGCAAAAATTGAAACATCCTTTATTTACTGTGAAAAAATCACACTCCGGGGCCAAAAAATGAATTACTTATGAAGACTTAGGTAAACAAATTAACATAGAGCCTAATGGAAAATAAAAACTTCAAAGCTCATTTTCCTAGAGTTGCAAAAAGTGAGATTGGCCCTTTTAGACCCAAGCCAAGATTATTTCTTAAGTTAATTCACTTATATTAATATTATAAAAGATGTTATTTAAGAAAAATGGAATAAGCATTATTAATAAATAAATCGGATTAAAGTAAACCTTTATACGTTTAATCTATTTTATAAATCCTTTCCAGTAATTTTATACCTTTTTTTTTTAATTTATTTTTTTTTGCATAATAGCATGTTGAACTTGAAATGCCTTAAGAGGCGTGTAGTTGGGTCATTGTTCCCGAATCTTTCAGACGCGCTGTATATGCCAGTATTAGACTCTATTGTTCCCGGTACAGTGTCCTTGGAGTGTAATAAATTTCGATTATTATTTTAAGAAAAAGCAATAAAACCGGAGATGAATAGCTCTTTTAAAAGTGTACGCAGCAACAATATTTGGTAGTACCCCTTAGTTTTGAAGTATACCGTAGGCAATATGACATTGTAAGGACTACTGTTTTTGTCAGATATGAAGGTGGTTAATAATTTAACGTAAGCCACGTTAGTTTTTGGAAACGATAATTGTTTTTACGATCTACAGTTTTGTGTCCAAACGTTTATTTGAATGTGATTTTGATCACTTTCAGTTATACCTAACAATCTCAAAGGCCTTCCCCTATTCTAATATGCTCCGGCCCAAGTCTGCTGGCTTGGTTTTTTTAAAATCATTGTAAAATAACCAAAACGATGAATAAATTTGTCTATATTTTACTACCTACTCTCTTGGTAATTTGATTTTCGAGTTTCAACCGTATTATCAATGTTGGAATATTGTGTGTTCACAGGTATCTTTATCTCACCGTCTGGCGTCATGAGCGAAGTGGGCTCGGTGGGTCTAAGCTTAAGCATGTGGGTGTTGTGCGGTTTGTTGTCAATGATCGGCGCCCTGTGTTATGCCGAACTGGGTACATCCATTCCAAGGTCTGGCGGCGATTACACGTATCTGTTCGAAGGATACGGTCCTCTGCCTGCGTTCTTGTACCTGTGGGACGCCATGCTAGTGTTTGTGTAAGTATAGAAAAAAAACAAAGAATAATGTCACCGAACCGGATTGAAAAAGCAATGTGGTTTAAGTTGTAACACTTTCCTCCTCGATAACACTGACTTGTTGGGTTTCAGGCCAACTACAAACGCCATTATGGGACTGACCTTTGCCAATTATGTTATCAAACCGTTCTTCCCGGATTGTGAGAACCCAGACTCGGCGGTCAGGCTTTTGGCAGCTGCTGTGATATGTAAGCCACATTAACGATTTGTCAATTACAGGTAGACCTAGGCATTATTGAAATAAAACCCCAAATACTATAAAAAATAAAAATAAAAGTCGCCTTTGCCTTCTTCTTATCCCATATAAATGGTATGATACAACAAATAAAAATTGTCCAGGTCTAATTATAGACAAAACATAAAATAGTCGTTAATGTAGAATGTGCAAAATATCCTTAGGTCTTATAACTTTCGTCAATTGTTGGAACGTCAAGGCAACGACCAAAGTACAAAACGTTTTCATGTTCACCAAGATTGCCGCATTAGTTTTGATCATTGTTTTCGGCGGAGTTTACCTATATAGTAGTATGTATCAATAATTTCCAACCAATGATATCATTTTTATCTCCTCTTTGTCATGTTCTGTGTAATTAATTACATTTTTCTTATGTAGACGGATTTCATAGGTTTGAAAACCCGTGGCAAGGATCCATCACAGATCCTGGCCGACTAGCCGTTTCAGTATACTCTGGGATTTACTCGTATTCCGGCTGGTAAGGCAACTAAAGCTATAAAATTATGTTTAAAAATATTAATTTTAAAATTATGATATGTGTTGTTTTTTTTTATTAGGAACTATTTAAATTTTATGACCGAAGAGTTACGGAACCCATATGTGTAAGTATAATTTATAAAACTAAAAACATATTTAAGTCTATATTTTACAGGTGACCAATTTTTTTTTAACTACAGAAACTTGCCCAGAGCCATTTATATATCCATGCCTTTAGTGACGATCATTTATGTGTTGGCCAATGTTGCGTACTTGTCCGTTTTGAGTCCAAAAGACATGGCCTCGACCAACGCTATTGCTGTGGTAAGTACAATTGTGTTTTACCCACAAACGAATATTTTATCGTATTTGTATGTTTAGACCTTCGGTCATTTAGCGATGGGTTCATTTGAATGGGTTATGCCGCTGATGGTTGCTTTGTCGGCATTTGGAGGTCTCTGTGTACACATCATGACTTCGTCTAGGTAACCTAATTTCCTAATATATAATATAATAGTCATCATGTAAACTTTTTTAAATTTGTTATTCAGGATGTGTTTTGTAGGAGCCCGTTATGGTCATTTCCCAACTTTTTTGTCGTACATCAACATTAATAGATTCACGCCAACTCCGTCTTTGGTGTTTTTGGTAAGACCTACATTTGGTGGTTAATAACGATAAAAAATAAAATTATTGTTAAGGTGACGTTATCACCCAATTTTCTAGTGTCAAAACATACCTATGCAGAATGTGTTTTACCCACTATGTGATGCTTTTAGAGCAAAAATACTTAAAACCAAAACAAAAGATGACAAGATTTAAGAGATAATGTCATATCCTCTATTTGATAAACCTAGTATGTAACTTAACATTTAAAACCACATTTTTTAAATAACTAACTTTTTTATTTTCAAAATCGTATATGACATTGTCTCCGAAATGTTGTTATCTTTCATTTTTATGATCGGTGTTTTTGCCCTACAAAGTAAAACCACTATTGACCAAGTGAAATGCATCTGCCTAGCTATGTTCAGATGAAATCTTTTTTTTTAAATCTGTCAAGGTTGCTGAATAGTCCGAAAAATAAATTAACTACTGAAAAATGAGTCCTAATTACTGAACTAATAACTACACATCACAGTTTAACTTAAAAATTAAGATTTTGCAATAAATTGCCTATACTTAACTCATTAAAAATTAGGGGGTAAACCTCCTCTTAATGTTTACCTAAAACATTTTTTTCATCTTAATTTTCAGAATATTCTGTCACTATTAATGTTGTTTACGAGTGATGTAAATATGCTCATCACCTACTCAAGTATCGTCGAATCATTCTTCACCATGTTGTCAGTTTCTTCAGTTTTGTGGAGCCGATGGAAAAACCCAGACATCAACAGACCAATCAAAGTAATTATTTACTTTATTTTTACATACTGAAACTTATAATATTCATTTGTGAAAAAAAGGTGGCCCTTTGGATTCCGATCTTGTATGTTCTGGTATCTCTCTTCTTGATTTTGTTGCCGTGTTACGTGAAGCCGAAGGAAGTCGGAATGGGCGTAGCCATTACCTTGTCAGGCATACCTGTGTACTACCTATGTGTCGTTTGGCAAACAAAACCTGTGTGGTTTCAAAATTCATTAAGTAAGTACAAAAAACAAAATAACTCTAATCGATTAAAATTACTATTCATAAAACAAAAACTTTAATACTAATCTTTCAGAGAACGTCACTTTTTTCATTCAAAAATTGTTTGTCAGCGCAAAAGAGGACAAAGCCGAAGAAGATATTTGGGAATAACACAATTCTCGCTATTTCCTCATTTCTAAGATCTGCTCATAAATTATTATTTATTTATTTTAACTTTGGGTAACTCAACGGGTTCAACAACTATATTTTTTTGTGAAGAGAGCCTTACCCATCTCACTCCACATAATATTAACCATGATGTCATCTCGTATTAACACATATTTCTTACTTAATTTTTATTTATAAGGGCTTAACTCTGTTTACTGCAACTCAAAGCCTTTTCATTAAAATAATGCATTTAAAATAATATACATAGATATATTATGAATGCTACGATCTATTTATTTGATAATTCATTACTTTTTAAGTTTGTGCTTTTATCTTTAACGCGCAAAGCTGAGAAAAAATTAATTTACCAAAACAAAAAATAGGATTCCATTCAAAACTCTTTGAATAAAAACATCAATTTTTTTTTTTTTTATTGTCCATCAGTATTAAAAAATTGTATAACATGTTTACATTAAACATTGTATTATATTATTTACATTGAAAATAAATAACTATGTTGATGTTTTATTATTTATAATTATTTAAGAAAGCCATGTGGTTTTTTGTTGACACAATTTATTCTGTCTTCAGCGAGTGTTTCTTCTAGTACTTTGTTTAGTAAAACGCCAATATTCGAACCGGACTAAAAATACATTTTATAAATCTTAATAATTATTACTATAGTAAAAAATTTGAAATACTTACCATAATTATATCATTTAACGTGTCTGGCATAAAACTGCCGGCTCCTTTTTTCAACACTGCCGTTATTTTTCCTGCTGGGGTAACTGAAACCACCATACATCCAGCGCCGCATATTTCTTCTTCGATGGTTGGATCGGCAACATAATTGTTGCCAATCTTGCATAACGATACCAACACTGGTAAGTTGCCGGCTTCTTCTAAAGGTCTGGTATCGAAAGGATCGTCGGAAATCTGTAAATCTATGTTCTTGCCATCCTCGTAGGTTCCCACAATAGTCGGTAAACTTGTGTTGCACAAAGCTGCTTTAGCGGCTAAAGATACGGCATCAAATAGATTTCCTAAAAAATATAATATAGATTAGATTAACTAATTAAATAAATCCTACATTTTATCAGGTTTTTGATTCTATATTTAAATAAAGCCAATATTAGGAAATAATGACAGAAATTGTAATTAAAAAAAAATTTTAGAAACAAAACATATTTAAAACATTAAAAAAACGAAAATACCCGGAAAAATTAAACAAAAACAATACAGGCGTGCTATTTGCGATAACGTGAGTAGTCGCACATTGTATAATTTACTACAGTATAAAGTTAGTGATAATCATATATATTATAACCAATTAATTTGTATCAAATATTAAAGCATTTATTGTACCTTAAACCTTAATTTAATAATAGGCTGTTATAAAATAAAAACAATATAATATACTCAAAAAAACAAACGAAAAGAATAAAAAATAATTAAAGTAATACAAATTAATAAGTACAAAACTTGTATTACAACAGAGCGCCCGATGAAAGGTTAAAATATTCAAACAAAAATATTATATTTTATACTAGAATTTAATTTATTAAAAAATTCCTATTTTTTTTTTTTTTAAACTTAAAATTTGTAAATATTTACAAAAACTACTATCTACATTTTTAGCTTTCAAGTGAGAAGGTTACAATTTACAATTGTGTTTTTTGTATGTAAACAATAACTTTTTTCATTCAAACTTAAGTAAAAAGCAAAAATTATCCTTTTTGAAAATGGTTTAACATAAGATTTTCTGTACTATAACTTGGATTACCAGTGTAAATCAATACTGGGCATTTTTATTTAACTAACAAAAATTGTTTGAAAATAATGAGTTATTTGTGGTGTATTTTTATTTAGCTCTTGATTATTTATAACCTGACATTTTTCACAGTCGACTTAGAACAACAGTCGTTTGTATTATTGTGTCAATAATTCTGAATAAAAAATAAACTTATGATTATTATCTCACCGCCACATTCTAAAATGAGAACATCAACGAATAATTTCCAACACGATTGACCGGGTACTATGCAAAGTTTGGACAAATCGAAAACTGGACTGTGAGCCAAGTATAGAAAACGACTGAGTTCAGCGGCAAGTTGTTCACCACCACGGCCCTCAAACGCTGGTGTAGCATTGGCCGAACTTTAACAAAATAAAAACAAATTATTACTGGGTTATTAGTTAAAGAACTATTAGTAAATACCAGTCGACAAAATATTCGATTTTTCCGTGATTTAATGTTTCAGGGAGGGGTGAATCGATCTCCACTTTGACGCACACCAATATATCGGAATTGGCCAGTCGGAGGCGAGCTGATCCATTAGCATTACTCACAATATCCATTTCTAGTTCCATTGGCCTGTAATCTTGTCGACTGCGGCCATCACAACGAAAATTTTCCTATTATTTAATGTAAATTAATAATATTATAATTATTAATAATATTTAAACTCACTTCGACTCCATGAATGATGTATACTTTTTCAGCCTCGTTTAAAGACACTAAACTCATGACGACTAATGTATTAAATATATTATACTAAATATAAAAGATTTTATAGAATATTTTTTAGTAAGATGTAAATTGTGTAAGTTTTTGAAACCATATTCTAATATTCATTGGCTTGTTGATTGTAATGTATTGGATGGATTCAAAAGGAAAACGAGTATCTTATCAATCAAGAGTTAAGAGCGAGCACATGTCATGTCTGTTGTATTATGATAACATTAGGAATGGTGTCGGCTGTTGACGTTCATAACGATATTAAATCAAATCGAGATTAGTTCACTCGGTCAGCTACGAAATTTTCTACGTACCTTTTCTTCCAATGAACATAACATTTTTGAAAATTTTTCAATATTAAAAAACTAATTTTTTACATAAAAAAAACAAAAAAATCTGTTTCTAACATAACTTAGTAAAGTGTTAAAATTTAATTAAATTTGGACCATCTAAGTCGAAATTTTGTCAGGCTTTTTGGTCTTAAAATAGACCATTCATTCCTTTTAACTAAATAAATACATGGATTTTAATACTAAACTATTAATATTACATTAGTACATGAACAGATACCGTGTAATAATTATTAAATGTAAAACAATTACTTTTCCCAAATTAGTTAGATACCTACTCTGCGCCCTCCAAAAGTTTGTATGGTCAACTTATTAGGGTAGGCGACCTGTTGACATCTTTAATGTTCATTTGATAATTATTAAAAGATAGTTGACTAGTGACATATCTATTTTTTGATTAATAATACATTTTTAGATTTTTAAATGCCGGTAACTGGCGTCTGAATGCGCAATTCTGATTACATCTTTAATTTTTCTTGTTTATCCTCGGGGGGATTGGTTTGGGGGGGGGGGAATTGTATTATATTATGATATTGTAATATAGTAGGTCATTATACTCGTTTCCAAACCACCTATGAGGTAGAGTATTTGGCTCGTTTTTTTTAACGTGGTATCTCCATCTACGATGATGTTTCAAATTGTATTTACTGTACCTAAAACCACCAGCAATGTGTGGTAAGGGCATCTCGTGAGCTAGTCAATACTAAATTGGCATTATGTGTGTAGCGTGCATTATTCAATATTATTGAAGATATTGAGTGTAATACTATAATGAAGATAATGACAATCGAGGAGGTTATCCTGCAGGACCACGAGAAAGATTGAATCCGATTTGACTGCTTGGGCGAACACAAGGGCCTATGGTGGTCTTATACATCGATGTCGATCCGGGCATAACTTAATACTAACTTAATACTACAGACAAGGACATCCGGTTCTCGACATCTGAGTGGCCACGCAACAGTCTGTGGTGGACTTATGCATCGAAGTCGATCCGGGCATAACTTAAGACTAACTTAATACTACAGACAAGGACATCCGGTTCTCAGCTTGAGTGGCCACGCAACAGTCTGTGGTGGTCTTATACATCGAAGTCGATCCGGGCATAACTTAAGACTAACTTAATACTACAGACAAGGACATCCGGTTCTCGACAGCTTAGGCGGCCACGCAACAGTCTATGGTGGTCTTATACATCGAAGTCGATCCGGGCATAACTTAATACTAAAGACGAAGACATCCGGTTCTCGACAGCCTGAGTGGCCACGCATCAGGCTCTGGAGGACTTATGCTTAAAAGAGGGTACCATGGACCATGGTGGTTGTCCAGCAGGATCACGGGAAAATATTTAGTAATTTATCTTATCGGTATAATAAATGATAGTTTCGCGATTGCCCACAATAGTTTATAAGAAGAGAACTAAGAACAAATAGGCATCATCGTACATAGACCTAATCCACCTAGTACTTGACGCTAACGCGGAACCTTTATGTTTTAATCAAAGTGAAACCTGAGTATATTACTCAGAAATGTATCGATTGCCTAGTTGAAAGAAATATTTCCAATAATGACACTCTCTTTTTTATAACTTTGTTTGAAAAATACATTTCGACTGTACCTATAGTTAATTCCAGACTCTTATAAGTTATAACTGTATATAATTAAATTATTATTAATTAATACATGTATTACTTACCGGTTACTTCGTATTATTTATACTTATTTGCAAATGGCACGTGTAAATAATTGCACTTCTTCGTATTTGTAAACCTAAAAACAAAATTACAACGTAATATTAATAAATATTATTTAGAAATAATTGGATTTGAACTTTAGATTTGGTAAGATTATAATAAAGAGATTTCTATAGAAAATGCTGGGTTTTTGCATTGTTAATTGAATATGTAATTGAATACCTATGTTTGAAATACCTACCATCAAGCCTCCAGGTGAAGTCCTTCGAGTTGTTGGTCACCTTCGGTGGAACGCTTAGGATTTTTTTTTAAAATAACTTAAAGGTAGGTCCAAATTAAGTCGTTTAAAAAATTAATTGGTTTAACGTAAAATGTAACTGTAGACCACTTCGACACTGCATACTGTTCGCTGAAATTATTAGGTATAATATTGTTACTCACTGCTTGTTATTAAACAAACGAGCAGAAGTTAACATAGAAACGATTTGATTTCAGCCGTTAACAACGCACATTGAATTTTAGCCAGCAAAGGTTTGCAAATTTTGTATTCAAGGTGATCCTATATTAAAATCTATCATAGAGTGAATAAATACCAAATTTTGCATTCTATGAGATCTTATATTATCCCTAGAGTAAATTAATCTAACTAATTCGACAGAGTAATTGTAATTGCTAGAGGGATGCAGTAGCTTACACAGTATACACATAGTTATTGTTGTAGAGAGAGAGAGAGGGAAAACCTGTTATACTTCTTACAAGTTACGGGTATTGAAATCGGGCGATTTTGAGGAGTTTTAAAAGAATTGTGAGACTTTGACTAGTCAAATTTCAATTCTGTAAAAAAAAACAAGATTTTTCCGTAATTGAAAAAATAAAATTTGAAAATTATTCAATATTAAATTTTAAATATTCAAATTTCAATATTAAAACGAATTTTTTTTACATACAAAAAGTCCTTTTTTAACAGAAGTATAAACAAAGAACTCGTATATCTTAACAGATTTGAAATCGGGACATCCTAAGTAGTCAACAGTTTTTTTGGTATAAAACGTCATAAAAAAAATAAGATTGCTTTTAAATAACTTTAATAATGAAAACTTCAAAATATGGTTAGGAAATGTCAATAAGTTATAAGGCCCGAATAAAATAATATTATATTAGAAAACATATTAGGATGTAAAAAGACTTTGCAATACAGCTTATAGAATTATATTGCAAGGTTAAGTATTTCTAATAAATAATGGTTAAAAACCAAGTGCAAAATACTCACAATATCTGTAATAAATTTTTACCACTATATTTGTCTGCTGGTATTTAACATTTTTAAAAGTTATTGTACATAGTTATTTTTAAAAAATTTAACACAATTTGGATATAGAGATATTGAAAAAAATTAAGACGGTTTAAAATCCACAATGGAATTTAATATTTGACAACTTATAAAGATGGAAAATTGTTTTAGTAAATAACAAAACTGTTAATATATTAATATTTTTCTTGTTTCTTTGGTAATACCTATTTGTTTATATGTTTACAGTTCAAGTTAAAACTATATTGTAAATACTATAGTATTACAGGCGATAATAATCATTGCATTGCAGCCAATTTCTTATAAACTATTTTAGATAAGCATGCAATACTTGTAAGTTGAAAGTAAATTTACGGCTCCACTTGATCATTATTTCTATATATTTATTATTATACAAGTGTATTTGATTTGCTTCATGCAAAAACGGTCCTTAAGGCCATTTCTGGCAAAAACAAGTTAACCGCGGTTAAAACTGTTAAGGAGTAGACTCAACGTTTTATGCTAGAATGGAACTTATTCAGACATTCTCTGGTCTAGAACACAGCTTGTTGATTTTCCGATTTATGCGAGAAGGGGCCTTATTCCTGGACTAAGGTCGTTTTTTATACGAATTTACTAAATTTCCATTGTTGTATCTCGTCTGCTTTATCAATTATCTTTTATTTCGTCTGTCTTATTATGATGTAGTGTTATTCTACTATCAATTGATGTTTTTTTTTTGTATTATTACCACTTGATGTAAAAAAATTATATATAGTATAAAAATATAATCATGTATAATATATAATAATATAATGATATGTAATTACTATTATTGTTGTTTACGTTATCCATGTAAATTACATTATTTTGACAAGAAATTGACTTTTTTTGTCATGCATGCAAAAAGGGACCTTAATGTTAGTCCAATTCATATTTTATTTTTTATTATTTTAACTAAAATATCTAGAGTTAAATGCAATTTGTAATTCTCAATTCTGAATCTAGATAGCTTTACAGATTTTTTCAATCGTAACTAAATAATTTTATAAATAAATATCAACCATTTTTTATCATTACAAATTCAAGTTATAACAGTTGAGCAACGGGCGTGGAGAAAAATAATACTTCACTCTACCTTCCCAAATTTTAAACTCTAATAACCTTATAAGTACCGACTCAAAACTGGTTTTCGACTAGTCAACATTGTCAGCCAATTATTGTGAATCTAAAATTAAGAAAAACACAAATCTGTAATGTATTTTTACGGTTAATATTTTTTTTATAAATAAATCACTCGGTTATAAACTAAAATGTGGTAATAGTTGTAAAAGGTTTAATTTTCGGACCTTAAACACTAAAACTTCAACTAAAAAAAGAGAAAAAAAATTACTACTATGTTTAAAGAATATTCCATACACATTTGTAAGTAATTTTAATATTTCTAAAAAGTTATAGAGGGCAAATTATAATAAGAAGTTGAATAATACGCAAATTTTTTGTTGTCTTTCTCGACTTTGAAGAGGAATGAATAAAATTTTTACATTTTTGGTTCAATAAGTACATACAGGTACAATTTTCGATCTATAGAGTTGCTTACAAAGAAATCGGTTCAGCAATTGAAAAGATATCGTGAGCATAATACATTACATTATTGTAAAAACAAACCTTCCTAGCTCCACATCAAAGCTAATATACTAAAATATTCAAACTGCTTCTAGCTTAAAAATTATAACCCATTTTTCTTGGAGTGATAAAAAAAAATAAGTTGATTTACTTAAACAAAATGAATAATAAAACTTTTATTTAAACTTTATACATTTAGCGTTTTAAAAATAACATTCAAATGATAGATCACATAGTAAACAAATTATATAAATAGACAAATGGCCACATGAAACAAGTTCATCTTATAACCAAAAATGTATTTTATTTTTTTCTATAAAATACACAACACAAAATATTCATCAATTGTATGAAATAGTTTACTCTTTGGAAATAATAGTAAAAAAAAAGGTAATATTAAAAATGTTAAAATAATTTAAGTGTTCGACTTCTCGTTTAATTTACACTGAAAATAAATATACAAAATTTCTTTAGATAATACCATTACTTTAGCACCACCAAAAGAAAATATTAGGTAATAAAACATTTCTTTCATACAATATAGATCATTAAATTAAACTGTAACAATTTATATTTCCTTAATATATTTCGAGAAGTTTAACAGAGATAAATAAACGGTTGTGGTTTTGTTATTGTGTTTCTTCTAATTTTAAAACACAATCATCATATACTTCTTTGAATTTTTCAGCTAATTCTTCATTTTTGAAACGAATTGCCAACAATTCTTTTTGTGGTTCAGGGTTTTCTTCTGTAGAGTTCATACAGGCCCAGCAATATGCTTTGTTCGAAGACTTCATAGGTACCAGCATTATGTCGGATGATACCAAGTGATTGCACACGACCTTGAAAACCTATTTAAACAATTATCAATGATTAAATAATGATATTAATATATCTTAGTAAGTACATTAATTTAAAATTACTTTTTCTCTTCTGAACAACAAGCGATAAGTGTTTTTTTCTGGATGATATAGAATTTTCATTTCACCGATGCCTCTTTCTTTGTATTCACTGCCATCTTTACGAAACAGCTTGGAGCGCTCACAAAATACTAAAAGTAACAATAATAATAATAAAAATTCAGTACTGTATACATATATCCTGCTGTACTCACTTCTCACTTTTCTATGTGTAATTAAAACGTTTAATATGTACTCTTTCTGCAAGTACACTATTTCCATTATCAAGTACTTACGCATGTATACAAAAAAGTGAAAAATAAATACACCACTAGTTAGTTTACATAGTAAGTCTACTTACGTATGGTTTCGTTTTCTTCGCCCGTAGAAACCTCTACAGCTTCAGGTAATGGGACAATCGGTTCAAAATGTGGATCGTGGCTGTTATCTACTTCTTCTTCGCCATTTTCTTCTCTCTCGTTGTTTTTTTCCTCGTCAACAGATTTGTTTAGGCTGACATTATTTTCTGCCCATGGGGGGTTAACTAATAAAATATATGGTTTATTGTAATGAACAGATTAGCTATTATAGTGTCATGTATCATATTAGTTAAGTAAAATGTATACACATACCTTTAAGAGCCTGTACTTCTTTGTTTCCAAACAGACCTTGGCCGAAATTAGACTTGGAATTTTGTGCTAACGATGCAAATGATAAGGTACTGTCGATTTTTGGAGCGAAAGAAAACACACTTTCTGGTTGAGTTTTGGCATCATCAGTCTTGGAAAATGTACTATCGATTTTGGGAGCGAAGGAAAACAAACTTTCAGGTTTAGATTCAACAACATCAGCCTTCTTGGAAAACAATGAACCAGTTGTCGGTTGAGTATTGAAAATACTTGTTGGCGGTTGAGTATTGAAAATGGAAGTATTTAAAACTGTGGTCGAAGGTAAACCAAACATACTACTGGTCGAATTATTTTCATCGTTTTTGATTGAACTCGACGCTATGTTACCAAATAATGGGTTTGATCCGAATAAAGGAGCATTTGGTGCGGTATTTCCAAATATATTTGTCGAAGTATTTCCAAAAATATTTGGTGCAGTAGTATTTCCAATAGCACTTGTCATATTTTTATCACCAAATGAGAAGGACTTACTAGGGTTAAACGCCTGAGAAAAACTGTTGGTTGATGTGACTAAAGGATCACTCACTTCAGAAACTTTAGTTGGTATTTCCTCTTGTACTTTAAAGGTTTCTTTTTCCTACAATTACATTAAAAACATAAATATTAATAAAAAATTAGTCAATAGTATTGCTGTTGAATATATTACCTTTTCATATGTTTTTGAAGATGTTATTTCACGTTCTTCACTTTCCCCTTCTTCACTCTAAAATACACAAATTATTTACTATTGAAGAAAAAAACAACAATAAAAGGAAACTCACATCTTCACAGCCAACACATCCTTTACATTTAGGTTTTGACTTGTATAAGAAAAATGCAAGTGGCAGTTGCAGGTTATCAGCAACTACTTGATCGTCTAAAGGTATTACTTCTTTTAAGTTTCTAACTTGTAAGATCTTGACAGAATCATCTAAAAAAATATTGCAATTATCAAGCGTTAACGACAAGTTACATATTGAAAAATCAATTTTAATTTTTTTTTATGTACACCATTTTAAGTGTATACCTATATCTGAATTTTGAGATGAATCTCTTGACGCTGATTTTTCTGATATTACTAGAAAATTAAACCTCAATTAAAATTGCATAGTATCAACTAAGAAATAACTTAGGTAGTTATTTTTTATGAGTATACATTGTATATTTGAGTTAGTTAAACAAAAAATTTATACAATTTGTTTAAAAATTTGAATTTAGCTTAAGATTAGTTCAATTCAACTTAATAAATAAAAAATTTAAAAGCTGTAGTTCATTGTTTTTGTTTACTGTTTAATAAAAATGTGCAAAACAAGAAATTGACTTACTTTCTTTAGTTCCTGGTAAATTATCGACTTTAAACGAAGGCAACTCGAGTTTTACTGAAAGAAGAAAATATATTTATTAAAATTATATCTAGTGGTGATGTCGTAGTGTATAGTGCTATATTTAACCACCTCCCATTTTTCTAGGTATGTGTGTATTCATAATGAAAATTGTGTACCACATTAAAAAAGTATACATTATGAGTACATCCACATTTAACCATTGTCTTGATAGATATATTTCAAACATTTACACGTAAACAATTTCATACCATTAGAAAGTTTAAATTGCTGTTTCTTTGCTTCAACTACAGATTTTTGTCCATCGTAATCATCACTTTCATTATCTTCAGAGTCTTCTTCATCGCTTTCGTTTTCACTTTTATCAGAATCATACTTCACCAGTCCGGCACTTTCTTCTCTCCACGATTGTGGTTTCGACTGGTCCGTTTTGTTGCCAAATACATTACTGCTAGTGCTCAACGATCCAAAAGACAGAGGTTCAGTTGTTTCAAATTTAGGTGCAAACGATGGAGCCGGTGATTTCACACTATCGGTTGTTGGCATGCCAAATTTGAATGTAGAAGCAAATGACGGTTGTCCGAACGAAAAACTGCCAAAAGATGGTTTACTGACTGTAGTTTCTTCAACTGCAGCACCTGGTTTTATTGTATTACATGCCGGGCACTTGATTGTATTAGCATCATTAGACAAATAACATCCTTTGCAATTCCACGAACCTGGTTTGGGCTTGAACTGAGGTAAATCACTCAATTTAGGCAATGTCTTATCGTTATCTGTATCCAAATTTCCATTTGTCTTTTCTACAACAGCACCTGGTTTGGTTGTATTACACGCCAAACACTTATCTGCATTAGCATCGTTAGATAAATAACATATATTGCAATTCCACGAACCTGGTTTGGGCTTAAACTGAGATAAATCACTCAATTTAGGCAATGTTGCGTTTGTTTCTCTAGGCTGTTCGCTTAACTCAGGTTCCCCACTACTAGAAATGCTTGTATCATCTTGAATTGTGTTTTTTAGATCATTAAATTTATCTCTGAACGCATGCAATTGTTGCACAGTTTTAAACCTAATAGCAAACAGCTCTTTTTTACTTTGTCCTTCGGAGAAGTCCTGACCTATCCATGACATGGCCTTATCGGACGACGAGACTGGTTTTAATTCTAAATCTGTAGTTAGTCTTTGATTGCAACATATTTTATGTATTAATTCTCTCCTCATTAACAACTGATAGTAGCCTTGTTCTGGATTGTGCAAAATTTTCATCTGACCAATACCTTTTTCTTTCCATTCTTTTGTATTTGAATCAAATCGTAACAGTTTCGCCCTGTCTTCAAACACGACCTTTAGTCCTTCCTCGCCGGTAACCACATCTACCTTACTCGGTAATGGTATGACTGGGGTAAACTCAGCAGTCGGCACAAAGTCATCACCATTTTCGTTAGGCATACCATTGGATCCAGTAGTAGTATCGAGGGAAGGTTTAACAATGGCGTTAGGTGAAGGATTAGTTTTACCACCAAATACTGTGCTACCCGCTCCAGGAAATCCTTTGAAATCAGGAGAATTGTTAAATCCAATGCTCGGTGAACTTTTGGCCAACGTACTAAAATAAGACGTAGCAGATGTGCTGGAAGTCAAATCCAATTTGGGAGTGAATGCAGCAAGCTTATTATCGTCGGCCTTGGAATTAGAAAACAATGGTTTTTCATTCGGGGTATTTTGATTAGCAATAGATGTTCCAAAAGATAACTTCGGAGTGTTCATTGCAAACTTGTTGTCGCTGGTGACCTTGGGATTGGAAAACAATGATTTTTCCTTTGGAGTATTTTGATTAGGATTTTCAAGTTTTGGTAAGCCAAATGAAAAGTTTGCTTTTTCAACAGATTCTGATGCTTTAGCTTCAGAATCTGTAGAAAATGTGGGTTTAGTTAAAAGAGAAGTCAGTGTTGGAGTTTCAAAAGTGCTATTAAACGATGTCGACAAATTCAGGCTAGAGAATAGTCCTTTACATCTGTCTGGAGTTTTTTCTGGTTCTTTAGGTGCAACTATTTCGTTTACGATAGGTGGGGTACTAAATGTAAATCCGCCTAAAGTGTGTTTTAACGATTTCTCGTTTTCCAAAGTCAATGATAAACCAGATGAACCCAAATTTAACTGTTCTTCGACTGTTGAATTTTCATTATCCGTACAATTAGAATCTTCAACTAATGAAGTATTCTGCGAACACGGTTGTTTATTTTCATTAAAAACCTTTGTGAATTCTTCACAATCTTCAACAGACTTAAACCGTGCACATAAGTTTTCAATTTGCACTCGAACAGCATCAGAAAAGTCATTGGCCGTCCACATGACGGATTTATCATTTTTGGGTTTTAATTCCATGTTTTCATACAAGAAGTGATTTGCACACACCTTGTAAACTTGTTCTCTTCTCATAACCAATCTGACTTTGGCAGTAACGTTGTTCCTCAATATTTTCAACAATCCTACACCTTTTTCCTTCCACTCTTTATCGGTATATTTGTACAACTTTGCTCGACGCTCGAATAACACTGTATCATTTTCTTCGCCTGTAACTTCTTCTATCTTGTCAGGCAATGGTATGATTGGTTGAAACTCTGGCATAGGATCGTGTTCTTCAACGTAACTATCGTCAGTCGCAGAGTTCTTAGATTTGTTCAGTGATGCATCTAAACTTTCTTTAAATGTAGACAAAGCCGGTTGAAATGCGGGTGGAGGTGTTGGTTCGGAAGTTTTAGCTAACCAATTGGGCGGTGGAGCCTCGTATGTTGTACAAGATTGCACTGTAGTTGGTTGACTATTAAATTTAAAAGGCTGGTGTGTCTGAGATTCAGACGGCATGTTATTTCCACTGAGTAGATGATGAGTTGGTATGGTAACACTCAAAGGCGGTTGTGAAATATGTGGCCCAGTCGGTAAAGTATCAGAATTCGTAATGTTTACATTAGGGTTTGGAAACGGGAATACCAACTGTTGTTGTTTGTAACATTGGTTAAAGATATCCTGCATATATTCAAAGGAGCCAATGGGATGATCTTCTGTTGGTCTTATTACAGGATAAGTTTCTCTGATTTTAAGGCTATGACCCTCTTCGTGTTCATATTGACCCTCTTCGTCTTCATGATATTGACCCTCTTCGTGTTCTTGATATTGACCCTCTTCGTGTTCTTGATATTGATAAAGAGGACATTGGTGGTCACCACCCTCTTCTTCGCTATCAAAATTGCCCATGGTCTGTCTCATGTTAATTATTTCGTTTAACGCATCAATTTTCTCAGTAAAATTATCTTCCAATTTATTGATACGATCAATGAGTTTATGGTCAGTAACAGGGTTGTTAGTAATATTTTGAGATAAATCATTGACTTTATTCAAAATCGAGTCCTTGGTGTTGCTGAGTTGGTCAAAAAGTTTATCTACTCTCTCTGACATCGAGCGCATGTTTTCTATCATGGTGTAGTACTGTAATCCCATGGTTTGACATTGGACGTTCTGCGATTGGACAGCTATTTTAAGTTCGTTCAACACTCTCATGACAGGCTCGTCGTCAGCCAGCTTTCTGCACTAAATCGGTAATAATACTTTAACACATTGATTATTAAAAAATAAAAAAGTTTTTAAGTACTTACACTAGAAGAGTTAACCATAGAATTGTGAGGCGATTTTACTGGAGTACTAGTTGTGTTGTGGAAAGAAGAGTCACCGAATTTGTTATATGATTTTCTATGTGGCGTACTAACAGAATCGACAAACTCCTCTCCAGAGTCGAGGTTATAATCTTTTGCTGTCAAGTCAACAAAAATTAGTTGCGTAGTTGAAAAAAATAAAAAAAATAAAAATGAATTCTTAGTAAATCTGAAAACACTTACCAATTGTGCCATTCAAATCGGTTTCCAATTGTAATTCTAAAAGTTCTTCTTTCACCTGATAGTGCAACGGATGTTGAGGAGATTTTTTCAAACGTTCTTTTGTGAGGTTTAACAGGTCCTTGACTTTAGTGAGTAAAACATTTGTCGTTGAAATCATTGAACCGGATAATGTGATATTGTTTGATGCTTCAATGTCAGATTTAGCCATTTTTTTGTATATCTAACAAAGTTAAATTTACATAAATATATTAGAAAATAACAATTTAAAAAAATGTTATAATATATATTAATTAACCATTGCTTGGTAGAATGATGCATATGGTGTATTTAACTTTTTAAATGCCTCAATAGCTTCTTCATTCTGACCCTTATTCATCATCTGGCAAGCTAAATAGAATCTACCTTCGTCCAATAGCTCGTTTATTTCATCGTTGGTTAAAGTTTTCCTATTTCACAATACACAAATGTTAGGTAAAAATAAAAATGTAAAAAAATATATTTTAATTTAAACAATAATTTACCTGTAAAAATCAAACAAACTATTTTTTGGTCTTTGTTCTATTCCATGATGCACAAGTCGTCCGAGTAACTGTACAGCTAATTTCCAAAAGTGCGTAGCTCTTTTTTCTAGTGCTTCTTTAAATAAGGAATTATCCATCACTTTATTAGCCTGTGAAATCAAAATACAGTCTTAAATAGATTTGCTTAATATTTAAGCAAGCAATGCACTGACAGCGAGTCATAAGGGTGTGGACTACATCAGAACTATTTTAAACCATTTATCAGTATCTTATACTCTTTCCCAAATAAGATGACTTGTGCACAAATGACAAAATTACATTTATTTTGTATCGGAGTAGACTTAGGAGTGCGACGAGCACCACTATACTGTTGTGCAACACTTAGCCCACTGTGCATGACTACAAGTAATTTTATTTGGGACAGAGTATACAGGGTGATTAAAATGACTAATAATAATATTAAGTAATATTTAAACGTATTACCTGGCTAGCAAAATTTTTTGCCAACTGAATTATCAGTTGAACATCAATTCCATGGTTGCCAATTAAGCGAATAGCTCCTAACCCTTGAGATACAGCATTTTTGAGTTGAGAAGAATACTTGACGTCAACATTTTTTGAATAAATTTTATACATTGACCTCCACCTGTAAAAATTAAATTAAACATAGTTATAGTTTATCAATGATACGTGTTGGTTATTATTGAATACCTAAACAACTGTATTATTTGTAAATAGCTAAAACTTTATTGATTGTTTCATCTTCATAAAAATGAGATGAAATGATTTAAAAATGTTTACCAGTTTTCTTGTTGTGTTGTCGTTAATAAGTCTGTTATATCTGAAGGAAAGGTCTGTGTTGATTTGGAATCTTTTTTTTGGAACTGGTTATCAAGTACTGAAGCGACGGTAAAAACTAAAAAAGAATTAAATTATAATTTTTTTATGCATAAAAAATAATATAATGAAATAAATAAAAACTATACAATAGCCAAAAATAGTAGATGGCCAAAATTTTGTTTTAATTAAAAATATTACCTGTAGCATACAAGAAAGTATTCATGTCTACTTGACAAACAGTCTCAACATTAACCGACGCAAATGAGTTGGAAACTAAAGGTAAATCATTAAATCCTTTGCAACCAAAACCAATAGGAAGTACTGTGTCTTTAGATAACCTCAATCCACTGCCTTTACTTTCGTTTTCCAGCAGTTGTAAACCATACCAAACCAAATGATGCAACGACCCAGGTCGACTCATTTCAAACGCCATCACTAAAAATACAAATATATAAAAAGTTTTAAGAGAGTTCATACATCGTAATGCGTGTACTCTATCACATTACTGTATGAACACATTCATATCAACAAACTGTAGATACAAACTTATGTTATTAATATATTTTAACACTAAATATACATACTGTGTTTTGGTACCGCATACTGAATTAGTTCTGGAATGGTGTACATCAATTTTTCAGCAGAATAATGGATGAAGTGTGACGAAGATAAAGATAATGAAAAATTTGTAGAATTAAATATTTTCTGAAATAATGTATAAAATTATTTATAAATCAAATGTTCACCAACAAATTTGTTTAAAACAAAACTACCTTATAAGTATTTAATTTCCAATCGTTGTTGCATAATATTTTGACATTACTAATGAAATGGTCGCCTTCGTTTGCAATCATTGATCGTAAAACAAAACCACTTTCAATTATTCTCCTGGTGCCTTCTAATTCCCACAATGCAACATTTGTTTTTTGTTCCTCGTTAAACTCTTTTAGAGAAATATTATCAAAGGCTTGTTTGTCTATTGTTGGTGCCAATGACATTAAAAACAAAGGTGCTACCAATTGATTTGTATTGTGCCATGACAAAATGTTCTCCTAAATATAATTTCATCAATTAACCATTTTACTATAAATAATTAAATGTTTTTTTTTAGGTATTACCTTTTTACCGGTCTTTAATATAAGGCTACCCATGTGAAAATACAATTGATTAGATAAATGGCATATGAGACTTCGGTAGAATTCCGTTTGTGTAGATGGCAATTGTATGGCTTGGTATAAAGCTTGATCGAGTCTATAGTTTGCAGGAAAAAATTAATTTGTAAGTGGTAAAAACAAACAAGACTTATAATGTTGAAATACCTGTATAGGGATTTGTAGCTATCGGATTCACTGTTCTGCTTATTTGTTTTTAAATCGGATACCAGCAATGAAGCAACACGTTCATATATTGGCAATACTTTAACATAAAACTCCCAACTGACTTGATTTGAATTTCCGTAAGACTAAAAAGTAAAAAAATATTACAACTCATGCACAAGATACTAGTATGCCGTAGTAATAAACTATTGACAATTATTATTAATAATAAATTTAATTTTTACCTCACATATTTCAGATGCAGTTTTATACCAATCAATGCTATCCTTTTGAAACTTAGAAGACTTTTCTATACTAACAACATGATTGTAAGCTTCAGATAGGCGACCTGAGCTCTCAAATAATTTTAATTGTTTTATTCTTAAATTCATATCGTCAGGCCTAGCGGAAATTTCACCTAGAACCAAATTTACAGTTGTATCACTTTATAACTTTTATAGAAAATAAGGTGCATTATCATAACAATAATAGAAAAATTAATTACTAATAAGAAAATCTTCAACTTTGGAAACATCACAATTTCCATTTGATGTTAACAGCCTTTCCCTTAATTGATTTACTGTAGGATGATATGGATATAAGGCCTCCGTTTGTTTACAAATTTTTTTGGCATCGGCCTCTTTGATATTAACTGATGGTTCTGCCATTAGCTCAGTACCTAAAATATGTAATTTTATCAATTAACTGATATAAATTAACTACAACTATAAAATGTAAACAAAATACGAACACAATAATAGTAGTTCTGGCTGATTAGGTGTAGTGGCCAAAGATTTTAGAAATTCGGAAATGGCTTTTTCTTTATTTCCAAGTTTGTTATAACAATGGCCGAGTACACGGTGACCTTCAGGAGAGTTTTCATTTACAGTCAAATATGTTGTCACATGTTGTTTGGAGAGTTCAAACTCTGATATCTTGAAGTACATACGAGCAAAAGACAATCCTTTTTGCTTTTTCTGAAATAAATATTTTAGTAACACAATATAGTTCTTAATATCCAAAACTGAGATACAATGAAAAAATACAAAATAAATAACAATAAATGTATATAACTATATATTATAAAAATTCAAACAAGAAGAAGAATATTCTTAAAGCTTTCTCAAAGGCTTAACTATTATCACTTTGATAGTTTTTAATTAGACAGATTCTCATAAAGGAAGTGGATTTATTAAAGTTTGTCATGAAATTATTTATATTTCCCCTTTTATAAGTTAATAAATCTGGTGACATTCTATTACATTCTATTAATCAGGGTATAATCAACACAAATGTGAATTATCACATACAAAATCAGAAGCCCCATCAGACCTATGCATCATTTGCTATTCATACTTTTCAAGCACATTAGTTGGAAAGTTCTACCATATGTATTTTTCTCAATCTTGGGTCAGAAATTTTATTTTGTAACTAATACTCGACATTTTTGTCAGGACGACTACATGCATTAGATATAACTTGTATTTTCTTTTGTGAACGCTCAATAGTTACTCATAAAATGAATAGGAATATAACTAGTGTTTTTTTTTTTGCTCATTTTTTTATTAAATCTTGGGAGAACTGAACTAGCTGATTTTTCTGTGACCTACTGTGCCCAAAATTTTGAGTTCATTAAACCAAACTCTGTAATTATTTTTAATTTAAGGTTCTTGATTTAATTTAAGATCCAATAAGTAATTTGTTAAGGAAACAAAACAAATTGTCTGGTGTATAATTAGATATTACAGTATGTTATTAAAGGAAGGAAAAATTAAGGTGTATAAGCTGTCTATGTTGTTATCAATACGTCGCATAAAGAATTGCATTGTATTTTATTCTTAAGGGCAATGATAAGACAAATAATGAACGACATCAATTCATAGGTACGAGCAACTCTTTAAATCAAGTTAACCGAACAGGTAAAATGTTTAAATAATGTACGAGTAATTAGGTTATTTATCAAACTACGGATAATATTAGGGTTAATCTAAACTGTTAAAACAATTAACCGCCGACTGATATCGATAACGTACAAGTATAAATAGGTACCTACAACACAACGATTCGATAAAAATAAACTACACACAAACACAATGACTACAAAGTTTGGTCGATATTCGGCTTTTACCTAGTCAATATAGACCTACAAACCTCGTGTTCGGTAGTGAGTTTGCTTAACTGGTCTTGAACAATGCGATCAACATCTTTTTTCGAACGGTAGAACCCGGCGTTGACGCCACTGATCATTTTCAACGACAACAAATACACACACACACACACAACGAAATGACCGCGGTCACAATCGAGATAAAATACAAAAACGTTTAGATATTACAAGTACGGTTGTAAAAAAACAACAAAAACAAGTATGCACGAAATTACGGCCGGTCAGACGTTCACAATTTTAACGTGTCCTGTTGTGCGTTGCCATAAACGTTGGTCGGCAGAAATAAAATGTAAGATGATAGAGTTAGTTAATGACAAAAAAATAACCGCGTTAGGCAACTGGCAAGTGTGCCGCTAAAAGTACGTTTGTTTCTTGATTTCCGTATGGCTGTATGCACTTTGCCGTGGCCCGTGTTACCGCTGAAAACGGTTATTGTCCATTGGTCCACGGTTCGCGGTATTGCGCTCGACTGCAGTGTACCCAACCCTGCGGAACAATATTCCCGGCATTTTGCCCGTCTATTCAACTGCCGCCATTCATATCACATTCCCGTCAGCCGTTCTTATCAGTTATCCGTTATCAATGATGTAGCCAGTCGCCGGCATACTGTATAGTATACTTGTCTATGTCGGTAACGACTAACGATGCTCGAAAGAAATCAAACATGAAACAAGTTTCAACTGACCGGCCGATGCCTATAGCCGGTAGACCGCATAGTCCGACAATGGGGGTCAAAAACAAGTGTGATCTGGATTCTGGAATAAAATCGGAGTTTTGTAACTTGGCAGAAATTTTTTTTATGATCTTCTGAATGACCAAAAAAAATTCGCCACCCCTTCGAAAACCGGAAGTGTCCGCCATTTCGGTTTTTTAAGTATGATTCAGGAGATCATAAAGAAAACTTCTGCCTCAAGTTTCAAAACTCCGATTTTTTCCCAGAAAAAATCGTTCATTGACTGAACTAGTAATATAAAAATTCGAAATGAAATTGTTGAAAAATAAAAATATGTTCCAAAATTGTTCATACTGCTTTTTCATGATTTCTAATAATACTGAAATATATGCCGAGATATTATGTGGATACTAGTTTTACCATTAATTATATAATATACGATCTCAAAATCAAAATTGTTATACAGACAATACCTACACATAAGGTACGTAATGTAGAATCTATACAGTAATAAATAGCCTACATAGTATATATATATATATATAGTCATCTATATTATATACATGTATAATATAGGTGAGTACCATCAATGTTTGAATGTTCGATCAACTATTGGTGTTACACCAATTTATATTTTATACATAATAATTATTCCTAGCTCATTAAAATTTTAAATTAATTTATGGAAAAATATTATACAGGTGTATCAAAAAGAATGGTGAGGTTTCAAACAGCTGTAGGTTGTGAAGTATTGGACAAACAGCGCTCTGGTAGGACTTAAATGAAAGAGGGAGTTGTCAAGTTTCTAAAGGCCCTGTTTTTTTTAATTATATATTATTTACAAACCCCCCCCCCAAAAAAAAAACCAGAAAGAAATTTTTATGCATTTATTGTAATATTTGTGTATATTCCTATTTGTTAAGGAGTTTACATGCAGTCTATTTTTAAGAAGTTTTTTATTATAGACAATATTTAAGAAAAAAAGTGGTTTTAATAAATTTCGACCATGTCAATTAATTTACCAGTTAATTTTTATAAGCTTCAAGGTATATAAATATCTAATTCTTCTATGAGTACTAGTCATTTTGGTTTGTTTTAGAACAAAAAGTTAGACAAAATTTCAACTAAATAGCGTGGTCCGATTGCAATTTTGTAAAAATTCGAGTTCTTTGGCTACATTGCTATGTTATGTAGGAAGCCAATTTTCATTTAAAATTTTAGTTTCTTGTAGTTAATACAATTAAATTTGGAATTTTTTCAATATTAAAACGTAACTATTTTCAAATAAAAAAGCAAAAAATCAAAAATTCTTTTACATTCTAAACCCTGCACTGTTTTATCCAGCGTCATATGTACAGCTAAAACAAATGTTTTATTGCAGTCTTGTTCTTAGATTCTAGATGTCAATTTAATTGATTTGATGAATTCAAGCAATACTAATTCTAAATAATAAAAAAGAACACAATGATATAAAATATACGGATAAATTTGTTAAAAAATTTATTTGTTGACAGTCACAGTATATTATAATTTACAAATAATAATAATAATTATTATAAGTATTTATGTGTGTATATTATAATATATTGAACATAATATATTATTCTCAGTAGCATTAGGATAGGGCGTATACCTAATTTATCAAAAATCATTAACCTTAAATAATTGTTTACCTACTACATAGAATTACGGGTTTATAAAAAAAAAACAACTTTATTCATTTTAAAAACAAACGAGTAACAAATTAACACAACATACACCTATTAAACTAATAAAAATAATATTATTATAATTATATAATAATAATAAAAAATACCAAAAACTAAAAATAAATTAAAAGTATAACAAAAATTAGCATATGAAAACAGTGTGATGCGCTTATTTTAAAAAAAAATGTTAAGCCTAGTGTATGTTTTTAAAACAAAAAAAAAGATACTTAAATACATGTTTAGTATTTTTATTATATAATAATAAAAACACATATGCGTCGGAAACACTAATATTTCCACAGAAAAATGTACAATTGGTTCAATTTGTTTTATAAAAATTGAACATGTTATTTTGTTACTATGTTAGTTAATTTCATTATTACTTGTAGTATAAATTATACATCAAAGTAGTACAGTGTAAACAAAATAATAATAATAATGAATACAGCGTGAAATGTTTTAAACATTTTAGACAATCAAAAATATAAAGTTTAGAATAAAAATTGTACATTAAAATTACATAAATTATTTTTTTTTTACCGCTCAACTTCAAGAAATAATTTTTCATTTTAAATAGTTTTTTTTTATTTGTTAAAAACAACAAAATAAACAGGTACATAAATTGAATTTCCATCGAGTGGAGCAGATCTTTTTTTTTTACAAAATGGAAGAATATTATTCATTTTTAGTTCATTAACACTTTTATTCAGGAATCATTATTACCTATATTTTGTTATTTAAGTAGGCAAGACCTAAGAGATTCTTTAGAATGTTAAAATTTAAAGTTCTAGTAAATAAAATATTATTCGATTTGACTAGAGATAAAAAATAATATTATGTTTACAATAAAAATTTTAAGAGCCGTTTGAAAATGTTGTTCAAATTTACAAATATTTGTTACCTTGATATTAGTATGTTAAATTATATAAAGGTTACATTATTTTCGGAAGTTTCTGTTTCACAATACTGTATTGTTGATTTGGCACTTCAAAAAAAAAAAAAAATTAAATATCTTACTTAAAAAAACATAAAATAATAATAATTAAAAAAAGAAAAAAAGTAGTCTTACATACAACACTGAAAAAAGTAATTAATTTAATGTTTTTAAACTAAAAATAATGTTATATGCGATACATGTAATTAATATTAATTACGAAGAATATATTATTATAATATCAAATATAGTGGCAGTGACTTTTCGTTTTACTTAAAAACAAAAAATATAAATATAAAACATAATAGAGACAAGGAAGAAAAAAGATTATGTTCGGTTAGAATAATAGTATTAGTTTAATATAATGTATCGTGTAAGTAGTCATATTGTTTTGTTGACTGTCGTTATAATCCATAGGCATGATTAAGACCGTAATTATTAAGTTTTATGTAAGCAGATTAAATTTAATCTGACTTTCTGATTCTTTTTTTTTTTGTATTTTCATTTTTAACCGTTTAGTGAAGTAAAGGAAACAAAAAATATACAAACTAATAATTAGTAAAAACATTATGCCAAAAACCCTGAATGTTATTGTAGGGCAACAGGTATTATTGTACTTGAGGACCGCGTCTGAGTGACCTGCTTTAAGCTTAAAAATAAATAATAGTAAGAAAAAAAACAAAAGAAGGCGATGATGGTTATCGACGATTGCATGATATGTACCACATACAGACAAACAGAAATAGTAAATGTTTTTTAAAAAGAGAATTGTTTAGCTTATAATTATACAAACATAAGCAATGAGATTTGGTCAACAAAATAATGAAAACCAATTTATTGGCTTAGTGTTTTCTTTTAGATTACAAAACATTATATTCTATTTTAGAAATAGGATTATTTGGGAAGACCATAAATTATTTATGAATCAATTGTCAGCTAAAAAACATACATATATATTATGTATGTATATAATATATATATATATATACTTATATAGTATTGCGAAGTTAATTCAAATTTTACAATATAAGCGGCTATTGCAAATTTTATTTGTTTAATTGTTTTTCAATCGTCCAAGTTTTTATTTTGTCAGTCTACATATACAATGCACAAATTCGGTGATTATTTTAATGAGGACCTGCAACATAAAATATTATTTTGCTAATATTATATTTGAAAAAATATGTGTGAGTAAACAAAAAGTTAATTTGACTGTTAGTGTTAACATCTAAAAATCATCACTAATCTCTTATTAGCTATATATTAATCATGTTACTAGTAGAAATACATATTTATACACTACTTCCATCAGCAAAAATAAATCTAAAATTCCAGCTAAAGATAATTATACACCAACCATAAATATGTTTAAGTGAACACAATTTATATAAATAATAACAATAGTTATTAACCTGAAAAAGATGTTGCTAAAATTTCAACTGGTAAAGAACCGCGTCGGTGTGCTAGAAATGAGTCCATTGATTGGCCGGTCGAAAGCAGTACATCAGGTCCACCTGAACTACGGCGCTTCATTGATTTTCTTCGGCGTCTCCTGCTACCGGGACGGCTGCCATCAGATCCTCTTCTCTCTGCAATTAATAATATAAATATTTTACAATAACCGTATGAAAAATGAGAATTAGATATTCTAAGAAAACTATCATATTCAGAGTTTTTTTTTCTTATGTTATTATTAGTTATTACTTAAAGCATTCATATATATTCAAATGTTAATCTAGTTCACCAGCTAAGAAAAAAATAGTTTAAATAAAGTGCTTCTAAATAAAAGACAAACAAAGAATTAAAAAGATTATAAAAATATTAATAGAGAATATATTAATAATATAAATAACATAAGAATAAAAAAGGAGGTTAGTTTGATATATATGTATATAAATTGTAAATAGATAAATTATCAAGCAAAGCGGCATTTGATTGCAGATATATTGTAAAAATATCAAGGGATGTGCTCTCATTTTTTCTATCTATCTCCTAATTATAGGAAAAGTTCATGTCGTCTCACCTGGCCGGGAAGGAGAAACAAGAGGCGAACTTGAAAGTCCAATATTGGAATCGTACGGTAACGACGAACGCCTCACGTCTTGCTTCCGGCCGTTCGAGCTCAGTGGCCCGATGGCGACCACCTTTAAAAGGGCACCTGCGATAGAAAGCCATGCATTAACCATAATAGTGCACCAATACACTGACGTTAAAGCAACGTGACTGCGATCATTCACATAAAAATCATTTTTTGAAAATAAAAAAATAAAATTGAAAATAGAAATCAGATAAAAAAAATCCTTAATATGTGTAGGAAAAAAATTTCAATACTAGACATAAACGACATAAACAAAAAAACATAATATATACTCGTAATGATAAAAAAAATTTACTCTGTTTAGAAAAATCTGATGGCACCGATCCGCGTCTAGGAATCGCTTCAATACCTCTTGTTGTTATACCAGTTCCTCCTTCGCCGGTTGCCGCTCCGACTGGTGCTGAACCTCGCCTTCTGGTCAAAATCTGTGGACAAAACGAAAGTCAAAAGGTGTCCAATTACAAAAAAAAACATAACTAGAAAATCACACATGTTGGTGTGTTCGGGGTGATTAAGTACATTATGTTATGAAAATGCTTTTTTAAACTAAATTACTAAAAAAATTAACATAATATGAGTTAATAATAAGTTAAATGAGAAGCTATCATATTTTTCAAATTAATCCATTGAACGTTATTTTACTGGGGTAAGTGGACTTTTTTTTATAAAAACTCAACCAATTTTTAACCCCGATTAGGACTCCAACTATGATGCGTTCTTACCTGACTCATGTGATTGCTGTTACGCCTGATTTCTGCTGCAGTGCGCGAGGTCGGATCGACGTTTTCTTTTTCCGAAAACCTGGCCAATTTAAACACCCTGTCTGTATCTAAAATGGAGTCTCGTTTTATTCCGTTGCTTTCGCTGCTCGTTGATCCGGTCCGGCTGGACGTGGTCGATGTCGAGGTGCCACTGGAAGACGAAGACTGCACTAGTTCAACGGCTCCTGTGGATAGGTATCTGGCTCTGACGTAGGGCTGGATGGGCGGGAAAGTCTGTTGTCGGGTAAGGCCGCGGGTCATTTGCAGCACGGGAGACGTCACCCCGTGTATCACATTGCACAAGCGGCTGGCCTCTGCCGGGTTCGTGATGGTCGCTATGCTCGGCTCGGGTATCAGATTCTCGGCGCTAACCGGCCTGTCGTCTTTGTTGCTGCCGCCGCCGTCCGACGACCTCTGCAGGCCGCTGCTCCGGGACGAGCCCAACGATAAGCTCAGGCCCTCCTCCTCCTCTTCCAAATACGGAATCTGGCCGAGCGTGAACCGCCGCCGGTTTTCCGCCTGCACCATGAGCGTGGTCGGCGACGCTAGGCTCTCCCGTCTGAATATCGTACACGGCACTTGCGTGGCCCGCGCCAAGTTCAACGGTACCGAATGCCGGCGGCCCATTTTGTCGACAGTCTCCAACATGACTGCCGGCAACGAACCGCGGCGGCTCATTGACTCGTGTTCAACGTCCAGAATGTCTTCCAGTATTACCGAGGGTTGAGCAACCGAGTCCGCTTCGGAAATGTCGGTCAATTGCTCTTCGGCGTTTTCTTGTTGTCGCAGTGCTTCCCAACGCCGCTGATTTTCCTTCAAGTTGGCCATCATGGAGTGAGAAAGTTTCGTGTCGAGAAACTTGTGCCATAAGTTGAACAGAGGCAACACCATAAACTTAAAGAACACTGAAACATACGGCCACGTTAGTCAACCGAAATTACATTAGCCAGACTTGGAAGTTTTTGTTTAAGGCCGGCAAACGTTAAGTACTATCTAAACTCATGACTTATGTATTTATCAAACCTAACTATGTCGGCCTTTTAAAAAACTCGGGTTTATACTAGGTATTGGAAAATATTATAAAATTCCACTAATAATATGTGTAAAATAGTTGTAAGAAAGTTATAAACCCAAGTAACCCAAGCTAGTTCAACGATAAATATTAAGTTTTAAAAAACAATGCTTACTAATGAAATTTAGCATATTTTTATGTAATAGTAACGTGTAAGAGTGAAAATATTAACTGCTAAATAAATAAAAATAGAAAATTAATAATAAATTATTGACATTTTGTACTTAAGTTTCAATTGTTTTTGTTTCGAAATAATATACAATTTATAGAATGGTAGGACTATCAAAATTCAGTTAAAAAAAAAAGATATATGCTACCATTGTCATGAAATATTCATATCTAAATATCTAAAAAAAAATTCAGTACAAACAAACATTTGTTTAAAAATAAGTCTTAATGAAAAAACTGATGAACATTCCTAAATTCAAATTCTGACGTTTTTCTCGTTCACATTACACTTTTATAGCAAATATTTGTAATATATGCACAGATTGTATCTAAAATTAGTATAAAAAGACTTTTATATAGATAACGTTTTTCTAAATTAACGAAAATTCGAAGTTTTATGTTCCGTCCACCTATTGTATATACCCTGACATTTCATTTAAAAAATGAAAAAAAAAATGTTCAACAATTAGTTTGTTGTACTTTTAATCGATGTTTAAATGTTTATTTGGGACTTTTCAACTAAATTGCACGATAGGCTTTTTTTGAGGCTGATATAATGTTAAGACATTTTCTATATCGTGGTGTTTTTGTGTCAGATCTGGTCATTTTTTTTTTTTTTTTTTTGGGACCTATTCTCCAAGGGTTTTGGCGGAACCACCCGTGGTCTTGTTTCGGTCTAACCCGCCTATGGGAGTCTCGCCAAGAATCCTCTACGGGAATATCACGCGACGCGATCAAACACCTTGTCGTTTGTTTTTAATACAATTATCTCATATCTCATCTTATTCATCTGTACACCGGCATATAACTAACCAGTTTGTATTTTTGGCACAGTGTTGTTGAACCGGTCGCAGATATCGGTGACCGGCAATCCCAGTTGTCTTTCGTAGTCGCCTTGCCGGAAAAATTCGTCGCACACTTTAAGACTCCACTTGCGACTCACGTCCCAAGGCCGACACGGGTTGGAGATGTCGGCGCATTTCAGCGCTATTTGCAGTACGAAATGCCGCAAAGCCGGATCTCTCATGTCCAGCTCGCCTTTTTCCAAATGGTTCTGTCGAATTAAAAATACATTATACTTTCTGCGGAAAAACAATAGAGCTTTTCAGCCGGCCGACAATAATAATCGGTTAACGTCATTTGAAACGTTATGTAATATGTCGAGTAATGTATAAACAAAAGCCACAAAGTCTTGTACCAGCGAGACTGGTGTAAGCGTCAAAAGTATTCTTTCGCATTCGGCCCACGACCCACGCCTCGAATTTCTTTAAAGTTTTTCCCTCCCCCAACGTGTACTTAGCGAGTAATTCTTCGGAGCACTTAAAAAAAAAAAAAAAAAAATACTTTAACGCTAACCGTATACACTATACATGTAAGTACTACGTCCATTATTATCCAGTAAAAACACTACTAAAGCGTACGTTTTCTTTTAGTGCCGAACGCTCGTAAAAAAAAAAAAAAGTGGTAGAGTGCTTTGGTCAACGCTTTACTCGAAATACCGCACTAGATTTTATTATTTTAGTTCTAAATTGGTTGAACTTAAGTGGCGGATTGATGACGGAATTAAATTGTATTGGTTTTTTTTTTTTTTTTAATAAAGTCCAACTCGATTAAGTTTTTTTGAATATTTACAAACCCAATAACACCCATATCTTTAGGGTAAATACTAAACATTTTAAAAAACCAACTGGCGTTTTCAACAGGTATTCATGATGATTTTACTGACAAGTCCGGTTGAAAGTTATGTCACAAAATAGCAAATTGGTTCAGCTAAACCCTAGTCAATATGCAGGAACGGATATCGGTGTAGGTTTACCACGGATTTAGGTCTACTATTATAACTTGGCTATAGCCGCCTATAGGGTGGCATTTTCAGGGGGGCAACATTTTTTTGTGGCAAACAATTTAAATTAACTAATTAATAAATAATTCAAATTATTAATTAAATTATTTTAAAATGTTGAAAATTCTTCAAAATCGAAAAATTCTAGGTATGACAAAATTATGAAAACATAACTAATTTTTTCAACAAATAATCTATATGAAATTAATATTAATAATAAAAATCATATTTCGTTTTTTTTCCACTCATAAAAATCTAAAATAATATCCTAAACTATTAAGGGGCGGTAAATATCTGATAGGTTAGGGGCGCTGAAACTGTAAATCCACCACTGTCGCTATGCATATAATATAATATACCCGCAACTTTAATAAAGTAAAGTAATATAAAGCGCGCTGCCCACTTATTCGGGTTGCCAATACAACACAGAGCATATACCTACTAATCAATCGAATGACATAACTTTTGAAGACATAAAAAAAAAAAAAAAAATTAAACAATTGAACATTGACATTTTCAAGTTAAACAACAGTAAACACAATTGATTCTAGTAGGCAACAATAATTGTACTGCTAATATCATTAACGTTAAAATAAAAATATAATAATAAAAAAAATCGCTCTATTGTTGTATTCACTTGTTTCAGCGGGGCGTCGCTTCTGACCTAAACGAATTGGCAAAAACCCATGAAATCAGAAGCGAACGCTTCTATACCAGTTTTGCCGTACTCGCTACTGAATTTCACATTGGTTTTGTCGTACTTACGCTGAATTTTTGCAGGAACTCCGGTTGCCTAGTGATGTCCGTGGCCAAGATCAAAGAGCTTATTTGCGATTCAAGTTCACGGCGTATGGGACTGAGTTTTTCCGCCACGTGACTCTCCAGCAGACAACCGACGGCCGACCTCCAGTGATGATTTTCCAGCACCGATGTGTTCTAAAACAAAAAAAAAAACAACATTAACCGATTGTGTCAATGCCGTGTACTCTATCCGCGTGTACGTACCTCGTATAGGGTGGCCAAGTGGTTGCTGGTGGCGATCAGAAAGGGTTGATTGACACCGGGATGGTCGAGATCGTGAGCGACGGCCGCTATGAGGGACGCCATTATTTCCAAAGGTGTCAAAAATTTCTTGATCTGTTAAAAAAAAAAAAAAATGATATATAAACAGGATTTTGTTAATTCCAAGTTGTAGATATTATAATAATGTCTGCATATTTTGAGGTAAACGAGAATTTTTGTTTTGTCCAACAAATGGGTGGTAAGCGGTGTGTGCCGGTGATTCTTATAAATAAAATACATATTAATCGTTTCCATAAAAATGCTAAACGTTCTCCGCGCAATAATTCTGTTTAAACCGACACGAGTATAATAAAATATGTTAATAATACGTTTATTTTTTATTTTTTGCTTTTTAGAATCTTAACGTTCCAACACTGAGACGTGTAAAAAAAAAAAAAATAATCACCAGCGCCTGTCAACGCGAACATGAAAAAGAATACAAATACAAATCTGCATCATTGGCACGTGACATTTGCTAAGTCTTTAACGCCCTCGTGGACGACTCGGTGGCACGCCAACACTTTGTCCTGTCAATATAATAATAATAATAGTGATGACGATAAAAATTATTATCATCACAGTAGGTAACAAAAATAACAGTCACACACACACAAATAAAAAAAAAAGCATGTTGGTTTAAGAGGTCGTTAGACGCGAAACGTTCCCGAAATGCAATAAAGGACCTGTTGTGTCGGTATCGGCTGTCCCACGGGCGATTTATTACACAGGCCATTGTTTCGAGTGGTTTAATATTGATGTTTTTCTTAACCTGTGGCAAGAAACTCCTCTTAACGTTTACCGGTACATAGTATTATATTTTTAATAGCATGTAAAATAATAAAAGGTAGGCGCTCGAACCGTACTTAAGCGTACTGTTCGCGACCGCCTACAACCGACATACACCACACAGTCGTCCTATAAATACCTACGCTATAGGTTTCTTTTAGACATACATACATACTATTATGTATTTTGCCACAACCGACGATCCTAACTAGCAAAAGACTTCAGAGCACACGCAAAAGCTTAAAATAAATTCCATACACTAGATCTTAACTGTACGTCAACTATTGACGCCTAGTGTCGAACAGAAGAAGCCCAACAGTGCTCAGTCTCGAAGAGATTTTTTTTCGATTATTTCAAATATGAAACCAATATTTATGCAGAGCACAACTAACGACGACTAATATATATATATATATATATTACACGAGTTGATCAGGCAAACGAACGACGGTTTGATTAATATTGATGAGGTTTTAACTGGTGTTGGACGGGTTTAGCTTGCCATCGCTGTTAAACACCCATACGTGTGCGTGGCAAGGAGTTCGGATATCAAATAAGTTGTTTACACTTCAAACGATTAGCTGGAACAGCATACTTACCTAAACCTAGCTAGTATATCTATTAGCGCAAAGCATGTTCCAGGAGACTGCTTCAGCACATATATAAGTGTAAAATTAAACGGGAGCCGAAATATTTGGTTAACCGATATTTTTGTATGTATATAAATTAATTATATAGAAAAAATTAAGTATAAAAATCTCGATTTCCATGATAGAAAATTGAATGTGTAAGATATTTTAGGACACCAGTATACGATTTCCCTTTATAGAAACTTATGATTTCGATCACTTAAATTAATACTTATGAATTTATCACACATTTAATTAGGATATTTTCGATCAAATATTGCCCAACGGTGATATATATATATATATTATACCTAATTGAGCTTTTTCAAAATGTAAATATAATAAAATGTCTTAGAACATTATCCAAAATCGTTTACCCATGCATACACGTGTTTTATTGGCTAAAAATTAAAACGGCTCAGTTTCTCAGAAACGAGCATCTTCAGACGTGTTTGTGTACAAAAAAACTAAACAGCCGAGTAGTAAACAACGTTGTAAAACAAAATTGATGAAATTACAATACGGATTTCTCTTTGAAGGTACGTCTGCGATACGCATACTTAACAGGTGATACTCATGTGCACATATAAATGTAATTTAACGTAATATAGATATACACCGACCTTTTCTTCCTGTAGGAAACAGTGCATCGCCTGGGTCACGTCCGTTGCGTGTATGGAATTGTGGTACGGATTCGTGCTGTGGTACCCTTCTTCTATTAGGCCTGCAAAACAAATACCAAGTTTAAAAACAAATGCATTTCAAAACACAACTCGACGACAATAAAATTATCGTCATACTCGTCGTGTTATTGTAAGTAGTAGTATAGTATAGTATAAGTTATTAACCTCTTGACACATACACACACACACATTATACATATTTTAGCAGATTTATTATTACTTTTTTTAAATAAAATAAACAAGTAATAATAAAACACGATGATAATAGTAATACTACAGTAAGATATAATTGTAAATAACAGCGAACCGCACTAATAAAACGCTGCGAGCTTAGACGTTGCGGAGAATCGTTTAAAACGCTTAAATTTGCAATACGAAAAATCACAAAAAACCGAAATAGTACCTACTGGCTACTACTACTCAGAAGCCCACTCGCGCTACAGCTGTTAAATAATAAAAAAATTACTGTGTTGTCACTTAAATCGTACCCGAGAACATAATAGTATGTGATTCTCTGAAATCTATTAGAGCTTAGTGTTTCCCATGAAAAAAAAAATACGCTTTATACGTCATAGTGGCGTCATGCTATTAGGGTAATATGAATAAAGGTTAGTTAGGAGGGAGGAATAAAAAGAGCCAGAAGTTGGTCAAATTTCTTGATTTTTTTTTTATACTTAAACTCTGACGAGCTTAAATAAAATTTAAATAAAAAATATTTGATGTTTTATAAAAACAACACAACGGGCTCCGGACATATTGGTCACAGGTAACTTTTTTAAAAATGTTTTAACTAATAATTGCTAATTTTACCCACGTACATTTATTATAACAAATATTATTATTTGTTTGTATACATTTATTTTAATTATTATTTTAACCTATTCTAATTGTCTTCTATCTAATATCTTAATTACTTCTGTGTAATGCTTGCATAAATTACCATACGATAATAATAATAGCTTAAATGTTTAGCAGTCCAACGCATTCATAATATGTAAGATTATTTTTTTTTAAAAATAAATTATTTGCGATTAATGTAATAAACAATAATAGAAAAACAAAATCAAATTCGTCGTTGTACGCAACATAGTTCTAATAACAAAGTAATAACGTGATATTATTGTAGACAAAAAAATAAATGTTTCGCTATCGACATTTGTATAGTAGTACACTTTAGTCGTGACTAATCGAGTCATAGTCGGAAACTAGCTGTATCATATATATATATTTAAACCGATGTCAAACTGTTCAAAAACTAATTGTAGTCGTTCTGTGGCTCCCGTGCAGTAATTGTTTGTGCTTAGAAAATAAAGGGCCATAATAATAGAGGCGAGCAAAGACAACCAAGCCGGCATTTGCATGACACTATGCCGTTAATTAGATGAGTCGGACGTTAAAAGAAACGAGCTGATTAAAATGTGGAGCTTGCGAGCGGTACTGAAACGGCGGCAAAGAAAACCGTGTAAAAAAATAATTAACGGTTAAGTACTTTCATTCAAAAATAGATTTGGTTCGCAAACTACTACTGAAAAAAATCTCTCATATATTTTAACGTCAACGGTTATGTTAAGTGATGTAGTTGAAAAAAGCGAATGCATAGAACGAATCGGTTTTATAATATTGTTTTGAAAGACATGAATTTCTCATAAAGGCCAGAACAGTCAGTGGCAGACCTTGGGGGCAGCACTTAAAAAAATAACTTACTTATTTAAAGAAATTATACTACATTTTTATACGCCTAATAAGTTTTTTGAAAACTATTCGAATGGAACGTTATAATTGTACTTCAATTAATAAAGTATTCAATTTGTATTAGTTGTTTAATTAAATTTCGTCTAACTCTGATCACGTAAAATTATTATTTCATAAAAAATAAAATCAGCGTTTAGTTTTAATAGGTCGGCTAAGTACATATTATAAAATCATTAGGTAAAAATCAATTAGCTATAAAAAACATATTAATTCGAGTATCTGATATTCGACAAAAATGTATTATTGAAAAAAATGATGATAATTTCCAAATTGTTTTAATCGTTCAAACTAAATGAGACTGCAACAGTCATTCTGAAATCTGTCGGAAAAACGGCATTCGGTTGGCTGTCACTCACTGAAACGAAATCCGATTTCAGCAAGCCCGTTTTAATGATCATGAGAGGTTAGCCGTATAACAATAATTTTCTCGACATTCCCATTACGGTCGAAGTGAGTTTAAGTATGTTAAAAGCACGACGTGACACTTCGACGAATCAAAAGTACAGACTTGGAGCTCGAATGCATAAAAAACTTAATTCGATTTTATACAGCAACACACCGAATGTATTCATGAATCATACCGTGATTACAGTCTGTACCGAGTATTACTAAAATCAGTGCCGTGAGCGGAGAAGCGAAAAAGATTTAAAAATATATATCTTTTTCTTCTTTTTCACCTTATCCCATTTAATTTTCCTCTAGTGACGCCAAAAGCTTTCAACTAATATAAGAAGAATAGTGTTAAAGAAGTTGGCGGTTCTAAGTATATTCGAAGAATTGTAAAGAATCCACATTTACAAGATCCCACGATTCCCAGAATCCATTAATAGAATACTGAATATGAGTTTTATAAAAAATTAAAATATCATAGCCGATTTGGATTTGGCCCTACTCTGTGCATTAGCTAGTCATATCTATTCAGAGCTTATGCAGTTATTTATCATCGACATTATTTAAATTCATTGAAATTTGTGCAAGCTAATATTAAATTGTTTATTGTTTTATCAAACTATACAAAAACAATGTAAGCCTAGGTAACTTGATGCGTTTATTTTTTCCTGATTTCTATTTACGTCAACGTCTAAGTAATAATTTATTTATTTTTTCATTTAAACATTAAACTAATGTCGTCAGGTTACCAAAAAAAATAATTGATTCATCATTCATTCAATGTAATGGAAAGGCCATTGAATTATCATTGTTAAACCTTTGACGAACGTTCATGCAACCCGGCATTGGAGTAACAGAAAATAAATATGTTTAAATTTAATTCAACGCGTTTTATTATAATTGAACTTTTTTTTTTGCAGTATACGTTTTATTTTTTACACATATCATTTGACATATTCTTACAGAGTATACCGTATTTAATATGAGAAATAAAACTTAGAAGACATTTGAAGTACGTTTGATAGTACGAAGAAATTGTTGTTGTGTGAACATTTTTTTTCGGAATAATAAATACAACACGGGCAACGTCGGGTAACTTAGCTGGTAATATATTTTTATAATACAGATTAAATTCACTAAACATTCTTTTCGAGACCCTCGAATGGTAAAAAAGAAAAATAATAGTAAAAAATAACAATAACGACATTCAGAGCAAAAAGAAAAAACTAAATATTCTTTCGAGAAAGTTGTCGGCACAAAAGATGACGGCAGGCTTCAACTTTGAAAGGGGAGTTTTCTTCCTTTGTTAAATTAAATCTTAACCGGCATGACGAAAATAAATGCAAAATTATTATATTGCTCGGTTGACATCGCCGCCTGACGACACTGGAGAACATTTTCCTTGATACGTACTTACAAGTTACCCGCTTGACTACGCTGTGCTTTAAAATTGATAAAATACTATAATTAAAATTATTGAGGTCGAATGGAATTCGTATATACACGTAGAGCTGTCAGCGACAAGCAAGTCGGTGTTCCTCTGTCGTTTCAAGAGAGCTGTTTCGATATTGGTAGACTATAATTATTATTATATACTTAATTAAAAAAAGCGGTCTTCCGGTAACGCTGTATGAGATCTGAAGACAAACCCGCAAAAAAACCGGTAAACGAAAAATCGAATGCATATTTAATAAAAAAAAAAACTTAAACGCCATAAAAAGAGTAAAAGACCTTTGTTGGAGGTCTTTATGACCGTCGATACAGTTTTATTACCCTTATACTTTACAATTGTCTGAATAAAAGTTTATACAAACTTGGGAGCGGGATGAATAAATGGAATACTTTATAAATAACAAATGTTATTTTCAATATATGTTCTTACATTTTTAGCGCTACTTATTATAACATGTACAAATATTTGATCAGAATTCACATACTTTCTTTCACGTTAAAAAATAAACTAAAATTGTAATAAGAATTCGTTTAAAAACCATTTTAAATAAATTTCCAAAACGCTGAAAAAGTCAAAACTAGTTTTTTACAACTTCAGAAATGATTAAAAAAAAAAAACAGTGCTTCACAAAACCTTAAACCAGATTAAGATATAGCGAGAAAAATCTTTTAAAGTAGGTGTATTTTGGTTCAAAATTGGTGTGAAGTGTGAACTAATATATTTTTTATATTTTATGTGCTTATATTTAGTAATAATTTAGTAGTATAAGAATCATTTTTAACCAGACCATTTGGACAGATCTGACCCTAACCTTAACACACAGTTTCAACATAAAATGTACAACTTTCTCCTTCAGACAAAAAAACGATAATTAATGGAAACAGATGTAAGAATATGCATAATTTCTACGTGATCGATTTTGTGAATTCTTTTTTAACTAATGTCTGTCGAATTGTACACTAGCAATACAACAGATAGAAGCAATTAAAAAAAAAAAAAACCCACGGAATTAACCAGGAAAGAAGCTTAAAACTAATAACATTATAATGTAATAAATTATTAATTATCACGAGACTTACTGAAAAGTTTCCAAACTTGAACAACGTCCAGTTTAAAGTAGTCCAGGAGACCATACCAATGAAACAGATGAACGCAGAGCACCGGAAGTGATCTTCCTGTAAAACAAAAACACAATTCATTTAATCATCATTTCGAATCAAATAATGTATATTTAATTTCCATTTGTACAGGCAATAAGAGCGGTCTGTTCACGTTAGACGGGCATTATTTCTTTTAATGGGTAATATAAAATATTAAGTTAACGTGAAAGTAAATCCAATTAGTAACGGGCCTAAAAGGATTCAATCGTTATTTAATTATTAATTAATGGTCAAGTGCACAAAAGGAAATACGTCTTGATAATGAGAACTGATAACTAGTACTTTTAAAATATATTTCTTAACCAATCAATCAAATCAACGTTTTAATCATATCATAACTGGAAATATTGCCAATGTAATAAAATATAAAACATTGGAAATTGCTTTTGGGAACTATATTGGTAATATTTTATTGTATACATAAAGAATAATATATAAAATAAAAATAATTTTAAAATATTAAATTATTATGTTCTTAACCACTGTTTGTTAGTTCGGTAATCGTCTGCGATATTTTTTTTATAAGTATATTTTTCTATAAAACAAAAACTATTCGTATTGATTTGTTTGAACAGAGATAGTAACTAGATACTGAATTATTTAACTTTTTATATATTATATATATATAGAGAGAGGCAGATATTAGACGGTATTGATTTTGGAAAGATACACGTAGTTTTTAATCACATTAAAAAACTAGAATTTTGGCTTTAGAGAGATAATAATAAATTATGTTTGTATTATATACTTTATTGTCTACTATGTGATACTACTAGTCTACTAGTCTTATAGTATACTGTATACAAAGCTAAGTTGTAGCGGTTAGTTTTTATCAGTATTTTTTTTTTATAATTGGGTTTTTGTTTATGATCAAAATATTAGTCGTTCCAAAATGTTGACGCTATAACATTAGTATAGTTAAAAAATGCGAAATTTCAGTTAAAATCTTAGTGTTGATTTCATAATGTATGGAATGACCACATCTGTGATTAGTCGAGCCAAGGAAACTTGTATGTTCTTTAAGTGTGTACTTGATTCATCAACATAATATAGTTCATAATATAATAATAATACTTTACTCGGCGGTCACTTAAGCTTCACACACGTTTGTACGCCAATGCGATCACATCAATACACATAAAGGGTCAAGTACCAATTAAAATTAGGACGTTTTTACTGCATATTGTCTATAGCAGTAATATTATTATAGGGTTGATACGCCTCTTTAATAAAACAGATCTTCGAGAGGAGTAGTTATAATGATCTAAATGGTTGATTGGTTCATTAAGAGGACATAATGTATAATATTATTGTTTTTGTTTCTTCAACAATGCCGGTTTAATGTTGATTTAGGCTCGTGTTGTATTAATAGTAATAATAAAACGACCTGCATTTAACAAAAAAAATGTATCTTGTGTACATAGAAACGCTTATAATCGAACAGGGGAAGCTAAGTGCAAGTACAAGTTAATGTTTTACATTAGCGTGGCCAAATATTTTGAAAAACATAATTTTCTACTTACCCCCAGTGGCTGTGTCTAATGCGAAGGCGTTGAATGGCCACTTCCAGACATGTCTCAATACACACTGCAAACAAAATAACACAACACAAATATATTAATATACGTTCGTTCTAAGGAATTAGACCGTTAAAAAACTAGCGTTTTTTCATCAACCAACCCCGTCAACTACAGTATACGTTGTTACGTGGCTTACTAGTCTTATATTTGTTGTAGGTAAATAGTATTTTTTATAGACGTACATGTGCATTATATTGAAAAAATCATATTTTCCCCCCATAATAAGTAAAAACCCCCGTATTATTATTATTATTATTATGTAATTCAGTAAAGGCAATAGATATACGCGGCTGTGAACCGTCTACTCGGACAAAAACATATTATTTTATACATTTTGAATGAAAAGCTAACACTAATTGTGTTCCAAGCTTCGACTAAACGTGCCCATTATATTACACCTTCGGTTAATTATTGTTTATATTTTGGTATTATCAATGGTGAAAGCTTTCACTTGATTTCCGGTCGATTCAATGGCACAATAAAATAGTGCGTTATACGTTTGGTCTTTGTCATATCTATGTGATATATTGTTTCGATGTAAGTATAACCTGTTTTACTCGATCCACTAGTCAACTCTGGCCCACGCAAATAATTATTCTATTGCGCATTGAGTTTGGGGACTGCGTAACAGTCGCAGAGGCTGATTATTTTCTATGGGATCTTATTGAGCCCACAACGAGTAGAGGCGCGTTATTGTCTTTTGCGTACAACATATAATGGCGTAGGTGCATCCAAAGGCTTAACTTGTAATTACGTGTATGTTAACATGGACGACGTACCTATGTACAAATGTAAATACATACAGAGCCGTCTTAGGTTATGCAGAAGCTTTTGAGTACACAGGGTTTGGGGGCGATTTAAGAAAACCAACAAAAAAAAACGTAATAATGTAAATTTTATTATTAGGGGTCCCCAACAAGCGGGAGGCCCTGAGCTCATGCTCCACGTGCCCGTGTTAAAACGGTTTTAGTTCAATTTTTCGTAGAACATTAATTTTTCAAGTATAAACTATGGTGAATTTATATTTATTAGTGCAATAACTCACTTTATAGATAGTACGTTTAATTAATAGCAACTCTTTCCGATACTATCAATAGAGTTTCTCGGTGGACACGCGCGTTTGCATACGATACATACTACGGTTGTGAGCAAACGCTTTTTCTTCGGATCTAGTTAAGCGGTCCAAATTAATTTATATAAGACGAGGTCTTCTTACTCCAACCCAATGTCGCTAGAGTTCACCAGCCATTTTGCCAAAAGCTCCTACACCCGTTGCCCCCTTTCGCCCGTTTAAATAGGGTATAATAACTGTAGCCATCTGATCCCACCCGTTTCCGTCTGCTAGTCCTTATCGCCTTCCTTTCCTGCTGTTAGCCGTCTATAAAAGAGCGCGAGACATGGCTGTTACGAATTCCGTCCAAAACCGTTTTGCGCGCTTTGTTCTATTATAACTTGTGCGAAATTCTTAAATCGCAATTAACCATTGTTCGCCCTGGCAATCCCGTTAATGGTTTTCGGTTAATTGGGCCGGCACTGCTGTAGAAACGAGTTCGAGGGGCAGATGCGACCAAACACAAATACATATCTAATATCTATACTTATGTCTGTCTGGCTGTGTATACGGTTGCGGTTTGGTTGAGAGAATCGCACAGTGCCCTAAGAATGAACGCTTTTATACCGACACACAATTCTCTGCTAATTTTGCCTTAATTGGGTATTACGATATTACTATTATATATTTACATATTTTATAAGGCGTTCCAGTCGGGGTCATGTAGTTTATGGCTTTTAATTTCATTGCAACGTGCGTATATGCTATATACCTACACACCTGGTCGACCTTACGTTAAACTTTGACGCAAAACTTAGTCGCGAAGAGGTAAACTTACTTGGACTAAACTCGCATGTAGTGATTGATTAGGGTGAAAACAGCGATTATCATGAACCGTCAGTTCATTGCATGTACTTCCCTAAGGTATTTGGCTATAAATTCTGTATTCAAATTTCTTCAAAAGACAATATGTATATACTTGGCACTTTATAAAGTTTTTTTTATTATGATTAGCAAGTTTTCAGGACATCAGTAAAAACACAACAATTTTTGACCATTCGTCAATTGAAATACCTACACCAAAAAAAAAAAAAAGGTCAAAAAAATAAAAAAAATACTTTAGCCATATTATTATATTTTTAAATTGCTGTGTAAGATGAGACGAATAAATGGTTCTACAGTATTTTATCTCCAACTGAAGTACCAAGAATCAAAAGCGTACATTATATTACAATTAAACGTGATTCTTATACAATTTTGCAGGAGAATGAATTAAAAATTATATTTTCAATGTGTTCTTATAGGTGAAAAAATGATAACAACTTTTTTAACAAATACAGGTAGAAAAACGTTTCATTGTATAATAAAAAAAACTTTACTTAAAATTTCACACTTTTGGTTTCATCTTTTATTTTAGTAATACACTAGAATCTAGATTATACTCTGATATAAAACGCCAATATCTCGTTAATACAGAACTCTAACAATTAATAATTTATAACTTTTTAAACAATACTAAAAAAAGTAGTAAATAAAATTATATTCAAAGATTACCAAAACCAAAATCGAAGTATTTTAATTTTATATAAAACATTAATAATTATAATGATAATGATAATAACAATAACGATATCTTAAGCCCAAATACCCTGAAGTCATGCATATAAAACATACCTATACCGGCTATACGGATCTACACGAGTGGGAAATCGTGGAAATCTAATAGCTGGCAAACAAGCCTTTGGGACCGTTTCGTCCTCAAACAGTAATCTCTCTTTGTACGAAGGTAAACCGGAATTGAGATCTAATTCGAAGTACTATCGGATGATCACGTCATGCGTACCAGCATCAAAGGGCGACCGTGTGCTCCTTTGATGGGAACGACGGAAAATCACGTGAATGTTCTACTTTGCCCTCCTCTTCCTTTCCGGTTTGTTCCTTATACATTTTTTATGCCTAAGAAAATGCGGACAAGAGGCGGTTCTGAAGAACGAACATTGATCGGCGGCAATAAATCTCGTCTAATGGGGATTCTTTTATCAGCACCGTTTAATCGAACCATCGACGAAACACCAATCATAATAATTATTATTATTTGAGAACCGTAGCAGCTCACATTGCCGACGACATTGTCTACAATAATCTTATTATGTATAATAATTTATAGAGAGGAGGAGTGGCCGAGTGGGTAAGGCGGCAGTGTTGCTTTAGCGCTCATTGTCGCCGGTTCGACACTCCGTTTGCCGAGCATCATCATCAGCTTGATGATGATGATGATGATTATAATTTATAAGTACAGCTACATAACCGACAAAACTAAATGTACCCGTCAGACCATTAAAATTATCTCATTAAAGAAAGAACAAAGATGGTTATTCTTAACCATCCTTGTAAATAATAATAGATGAGTCAGAAATAAGATAATAGCGATTGATAAGATTTGCTGATAGAGATACAAAATAAAAATAATAGTTTAAAATAATAAAGAATAGACAAAAATAGTTTTACCTCACCTTGACGCCCCAACTTTGTGTTGGATTTAAAATTATTGTATATTTTTTTATAATAGAATTATAATTATAACGATCAATTTAAGAACTGAAAAATTAACTTTTAACTTAACTGAATAGATGCCTTGGTGCAAACATACTTTTTGTTAACGTGTAGAACCTAAACAGCAAGTTTGACTTAAATTTAAAATAAAATAAAAAAGAACAAACTCGGGACAAAACAAATATAATCAATTTTTATACATTTTCAACGAACGGGTTATTTATTATTCTACTTTTGAGCAACGTCCAAAAAAGTTGCCAAGTTTCTCCTTGGGGTACCGGCTTAAATGGTTAGTACTCTACAATTTCAACACTGGGATTAGGAGACCGATCCAGTATAGCAAATTGGATTAGACACTTACATCAAAAATACAATTTATTGACGTAACAATGAACATAATAATGTTTACCATTATTTTAGGTCTTGCGCTAAAGTTGAGTATAAATTTTACAAAAAAACTTTGCTACTGATTCCAGCACGTTGCAATACGTTAGTTTAGGAAGAATTCTGCTAAAAAATGTCAGTTAAATATGAATCAATTCATACTATTTTCTTAGGCTCGGTTTTTCAATTGCATTTAACTGACAGTTAGTATGACTTAACTGATGATGGTTAACGTTATATTCCAGTTAAACTGTTTATGGAGTCCCAGTTAAGCTAACCGACAGTTTTACCTCTCAGTTAAATGAACTGTTACTATTTCTATCAGTTAATAGATTAATCAACTGTTATAATCATTCGTGCAATTATTTTTTATAATAAAATAGCTTGAAAAGTTGTCCGTTTTATAAATTTAAAATTAATTTCAAAAATGAAATTTTGTTCTTTGACGATGATGAAGAATATTTGGAATATTTAAATTATCAACGTAGACCGTATGTCGTCCGTGAAAGGATTGATCATTTTAATAAATGGGACGATCATGATTTTAAAGTACGCTTTCGACTTTCAAAGGAGACGGTTTTGGAGGTTTTACATATGATAAACCGTTCTTTATCGTCCAACACAAACCGGTATGTACATAAATATTGTATTAATAACAACTTTTATTCGAAAAAACTTGTATATTTACATTTTTTTTTTTTGGTGTAGAAATAACGCTATAATTGTCAGTGCAGAAATTGTTATCAACACTACGATTCTATGCTACCGGAAGTTTCCTTATTAGTGATGGAGATGTTCTAGGAGTATAATTGTGGGGGGAGTTAGTTAAGCCCTTGCGAGACATCGTTCACAAATCGTTAGAATGCCCGAGACAAACGAAGAAATTCAAATATCGCAAAAACAATTGTATGGCATAGCCGAATTCCCCCCTATGGTAATTGGTGCGATTGACTTTTTTTGACATTGACAGAGTACTCACCCGAACTTGGCCGTGGTGTATGTCATCCAATAGCGCAGGCGCGGTGTCATTGGACAGAGATCGGGTGGTCAGCTTTTTCCGTCTACGTTTGTGCATTGTAAGAAATCGACCGTTAGGCAACCGCTTTCCGTAATGAGCCACCGACTCCAACAGCACCACTTCCCCTTCGGACAACAATCTGGACCGTCTCCTGCACCGGTCGTCCGTAGGCGAATCGTCTGAAATAAAAATAAAAATATGTAAAATATATATTTAATTATTGTACTACCTAACACACGACCGAGGTAAACGATAGATCACAGATGTAGTTTAAACAGCAGTTTTTCAACCGTCGGTGTATGTTGTTAGCATACTAAGCGGGTGTGGCCATTATCGCGGTAAAATGCTTTTGGGGAAATGAAGTAAAAATTAAATTAACGCGGTAATTTATACAGGGTGATCCGTCTGGTGTAAGACACTGAGTTTCTTTGAAAATATGAATATTTGAAAATAATTTTTCCCTACACGTGTAAGTACATATTTTACTATATTTTTAAATACGATGAACATTTTTATCTTCATTCCTTATACGTAAAAAAATAGTGTGGATCTAGTTTTTTTTAAATGGGAATATATGTTTTGGATCTTAAATTCAATTTTTTACAATGTCATAGCAAACGAAGAGATTTGATGAAAATTAAAAATTCAAACCCTAAACATTTTTGAAACTTTTTGCCTACATATTTATGGAATTAAAAATATAATATATTCCTAATTGAAAAAACGAATTCCATAATTCTTTTACGAATAAGCGATGAAGGTAAATTTTCTAAGTATGGGCAAAATATAGTAAAACATGTAGGTACCTAAAAGTATAGGACACTGTTTTCTTAAATATTCATATTTTCGATAAAATTAGTGTTTTACATCAGATGGATCACCCTGTAGGCTGTATATATATATATATATGTGTGTGTATGTATAAATTCCAGCTCTCCTTTTTTTACTTCAAATATTATCTTTTGTTATATATTCATTTGAACGTCCAATATTACTGTATTGTTCGACGAAATGCGCGTGGGGAATAATTACAAACGACCGAGTGAGATATATATGTTATACTAAATGCACCGCGTCGAGATGGAACCGAATTGAATTGTTGGAAAATATATTATTATTATTTGTAAAAAGGAATTTTTTAATATAAACGGGCAACGCCCGCGCCAATACAAACGCGATGAGATGTTCAAATATTATTCGAACCGATGAAATATTGAAAAAAAAAAAAAACACCTAACACCGAGAGTATTAAAGGAACGTCGGCAAATATTCATGTTATTTGCACATAAGTAATCCCAACAAACACACACAACGGCTAAAGGGGAAAAAAATATCAAGGCTTTACCGCTCTTGCACGGAGATCCATTAATTTTCCCAAACGAATTTCATTTATATGGAAAATACCACTCTTTCGCCTTTCAAAGTTACCTAATGTAATTTGGACGGATTGAATTCAAACTCTGGTCAATACGACTAAAGCCGAATATACGGTTGTCGACAATCGGTTAGGTTTGTTTAGGATAAATCCCGGAGGATCCCTTTTCGATACACCCCTCTCGTTCCACTAAGCGCACACCGATCACATCTACCACAGCCATACCTCCGCCGTTGACGGCTCAAAGGAATTTATATTATTATTTGCTTAATGAAAAACAACAGCGTTCGCGAACAATGCAAGCCTAAGATGTACCACGATTGTTGTAATATTAAAAGTTGGGCGATAAAAAAAAAGAAGAAACGTCTCATGCTAATTATACAGACGTGCCGATATGGTTCGTATTTAGAGCTAATAAAAATCGTTAGAGAAAATATCCAAACCCCATATAAAAGACTAATAAACCAAAATCCAATTCCTAAGAAAACCAATTCGTTTTTCAATCCAAAATCGGAATTAATGAAACTGGTTATTTTTCATTTTGTTATTATTATATAATAACAATATATATATATATATATATATATATATATATATATATATATATATATATATATATATTTATGCAATGGCCCTGGTCTATCTAAAATGTCCAATTTTATGTTTACTAACTATTAGTACATCGAGTATGCACAAGGTGATAATATCAATTTTTGAATATATATATATGTATAGACTAGGTATGCAGTAAATAAAGTATAATTAAATAACTATTAATTGTTACGTTCTAAATTAATTAGTTTAACCTATTTCTTTATGATGAAAGAAACTTGGAGTATTAAAATAGTAGCCCTAACACTAATAATTCAAGTTTTAATTATAATTATTTACTTAAAATTATTTTGGATTAACCTGTTAGATCTAATGTTTCCTTACAATTATACATGTTTTAGACATGTTTATGGTCGTTTTTTTTTAATTTAGTTAATATTTCTGTTTAAACAATTTTTCAACCCGTTATAATATTTTATAAAAAAATACAAAACTTTTTTTACACTTAATTTGATGACGAATATCATTTTTTTCTTTAAACAAAAATGCTAAATATGAAAAACGTCATTCCATATATTTTTACTGCGATTTACGTTTTTATAAAAACATTTTGCTTATAATCGAGTTTTAATTTCATGTTTTTTTTACAGTAATTACAGTCTGAAGACAACAAAATTCCTGTTAGAGCTATACCCATTATGAAACATCATAATATGGTTTGAAGGCACTATTCATATATACATGTTATTTTCTGTTTCGTTACGTTTAAAATGTTTTTTAAAATAGTTTTTGTTCTGTTTCTAACCCTCTTATTAAATGACTTTTGCCATGCCTTACAAGAAGGTGTAAACGAGTATGTGACAATCAATACCGGGCCAATGTTTCGCATGCGTTCGGTTATAGTAATAATATATAATAATGATCGAGTACTACCTTATATATTTATAATAAAAGCGACTAAGCGAGTAAAGATGGTATCCTTCGCAATTTTTCAGCGGAACAAACTACCCAAAATTAGCCGTTTTTGTAGATAAACCCATTTTGTATAAACTGTGATCATATCCACACTGTGGAAATAGTATTTTATTAGTTATTACCCATTACAACCGTTAAACGAGTAGAAGACATCATGTGCTTTAAGACTTAATAGAGTTAAGACCATATAATATGTTTAATACTTATGCCGGAGGTTAAAACAGGGTACCTAGAACACCCAAATTAGTTGATACAAACAATAAAAAAACAATTGTCCAAGAGAATAAAACTTAATATTGGACGCTGGTAGCTTTCGCATAACCTATACATAGCTGTTACCCTAGTAAAAATCGATCTTGTCATTATATTAACATTATTTTCCACATTCCTAAAAATAGCTAACCGCGGTAATCGTCCAGAGTTCGACGACGATAAAAAAAAGTCACGACAAACGTCATAACGGAATCAATATTGTCGAACCTTCGTTTATGGGAAAGCTTATGAGGGTCATACGTTGGCGTTTTTGATGATACCAGATTATTATATATGTTTAGCCGATAATGACAATATAAAACTCAGTAAAACAGCGGTATATTTCCCATTAGGCATGACAGACAAGTGACTATGACCTCCAATTTGAAAATTTACAACAGCGTGACCTCGAGTTAGCATAGAAATAACATCTCAAATGAAAACAGGCGCAAATTATTATATTGTTTGTCATCAAAAACGTCTAAATCACTCTGATTAATGGACGACTTAGAACAGCGGAGGAAGGAGGTATAATTAGCAAATTAGAGCTAGGAAATAAGACAGATAGAAAACATTTTATGTTATAAATGAGCAAATAGTAAATAGATCTAAGAACTGTCTGTATTTGGGTCCACATGGATACATAAGAGTATGTGGTGTGGTAAGAGATGACGATGACGGATGTGAGGAACTCTATTTGAGTGAAATAAGGCGAAAACAAAGAAGACCCGAAGGGCACCGTTAAAGTTTCTTTAGCGGTGAAACAAAACTCGTCTCGACAATCTGATCCTCTAAAGCGGAATTGTTTTGTATTGAGTTATATAAGTTATAAAGCTGTATTCATAATAGGGTAACAGAAGAGTATGTAATAGGGTCGAAATGAAAGACCGACACGATTTTCCGTATGAGCCTCAAACACTTTGACGTGGAAAAGGAATAGCAGTATTGAAACGAGTGTTTTTTTTTTGAAATTTAAAAAGAAAAGTGATAAGTAATAACTTACGTCGCACTCGGCAAAAGGCCGTTTAATCAATTCGGTTTAATGTACCTGCAATGGGACGAGAAGCTAAAAAGACAATCCAATACAGCGTTTAGAATGCATATTGGTATAGTGGTATACACTATACACGACGAAGGTCTATTAGTACTTCCGGGTCAATTAGCACTAATTTTACTAATATAGTATTACTATATTAGTATTATCACTTAAGCACAATGTCTATGCACAGCACATCCCTTGTACCAGTCATAGCGTCTGTACTTGGGAAACATGAAAACAGGATAAGGGCTTAAAACGTTTGTGTATATAAATTTATATATATATATTTACACTTTCGACTAATTACCAAATCAATTTATCAGTGTTGACAAATGGTCGGCGTGGCGGTTCTAAGTTAGTCTACTAGGTATTGTGAGTATTGTAATATAGACGAAAATAATTAGGTAACCGCACCCGACACTTAATCTTGCAATTAACATAATGCAAATATTTAAAATTGCCAATAGTAATAATAGGGGAAAAAACGGGCGACAACCAGACGGCGACCGGCCGTGGCGTGATCACGTAACAGCAATCATAATTATTATTGTTAGTCCCACGCATTAACAGCGGGCAGGCTGATTGGAGTATTGATTGGCATCTTTAATTACTGGCCAGAGAATGGAAAAAATATCAGCCATTTTTCAGCCGAGTCTGCAACCACGATAGAACATTTTCATGTCTCGTTGAAGTACCGAATAAATTTAGATTAGTTGTGGAATTATAATTAAAAAAAAAAATTACACGGAGCTTCCAGTTACAGCATAAGGCCAAGGAGATTAAAAAAATTATGTACAATCAAGTTTCTGGCTAAAATTGTAGTGTTTATTATCTGGCCAAAAGTAACTTAACATAGAGAATTAAACTATTTTGAATTTATTATTTAGTTCTATTTTGAACGTTGAACGTACAACATATCTTATCTTATCTCATATCAGATAACAGCGTAACGCTTTTTTTGGTAACACTTTTTTTCGGTTATGTAC